AGCACTTATAAAGTGTGCTTCTGTACAGTTTCTATCAAAGATTGTTCAAAGCATCATTAGAATCATGATTACGGTATGTACCGAACCTATCTCTTATTATAAAGATAATCTTTTTTTGTCCTTGATAGTTCACAATTATCAGTTTTACAATGCTATAAGCAACATGGAGGGGAATATATAGGGTTATAACTCGTACCTGAACATGCCCAAAGTCAAGAGAATGTTATGTAAGCGATGCCAAGCCTCTTATCAACTAGGTTGAAAGATGAAGGAAGCAAAGTTTCACTTCTAAAAAACATCTTTCTTTAAGGCTGTCTATAACAACGTCATGAAAGAGTGTCTCAAGCTGTATTAAGTTGCCTTACTTGCCTACTTTATTCAAACCCCTTGTCTGCTTTGAGTAATTTGATACTCCAACAAACTTTTAATCTTTTCATGATCCTATTTATTATTTATAGATCTTATCCCACCTTTTGATAACTTTTGATAACATTTATTTTGCTGAGGTTTACAGACAGGGAGCTAGTGATCTGCTTAAGCACAAGATTTTATATGTCGATTTTAGTTGTATCATTTTTAGCCATGACCCTCCATCACACTTCTGCATTTAAAATCACCTGTTACCTTTCTTTCCCTTGTAATATATTTAATTTCTCAGAACCCTATTCTGGCATACCCTAAAACATCTAAACAATTTCTGGCAAGTGAAAAGTTATCAGATATGTTTGATCAATTTAATTTTTGTTTCTTCCGTCGCTTATTATAATGTGTAACTATGTTTCTTCCTGTAATGTGATATGTCCCTTCCTGAAATGTGCTATGTTAAATACAGGGAAATTATACCATATCAGAGTTGTAGAAATAAAACAAAACAAAGGGAATGTGTCATTAGAAATCTTCTGAGCCGTTTCCTGTCGCCCTTGATCTTTGCAAGGTCATTTTAGTCATAGATATATATTTTTTTGTGTGGAATTGCAATTTATTGTAGGTGACTATTATGGCCTTCATTCCTTTAAAAAATTCTAGTTAGATAGATTCATGTTTAATATTGTTTCATTTGAAAAGAATTTCCCCATATCTTATGTTTGATTATCTTGCACTGCATTCGTTCTGTACTTTGTCTCTGTCTCTCTCTTTAATACCCACCCCCTCCCCTTCTGAAGATATATGAAGTTAATTGATTCAATTCAATTTTAGCTAAGAAGCTCAGATAAGAGATAGATGAACAGGTCAAATGGTATGTTAGTAGATATAAAAATGTTTAATATTTTTTTAAAGTCAACAAGTTATGTAATAATTCACATGGGAGATTTTTAGAAATACATGATCTCTGCCAAATTTCAAGAAGAGTTTAGGAAAGCAAGACAGGAGAAATAATAGAAGTGAGATGGGGGAAAACATGTTAATTTTGTTGATGATTGTGCAGGAAATGTTGAGTGAAAAGCTTGTCCTTTGAAAGGAAGTGGCTTGAATTCACAGGTGGAAGTAATTGGAACTTGATGTATAGAGGGGGTGGGGTGAGTGCTTAGTGCTGAATCTACAAAGTTTGTCAACCTGAAAATGATTTGGGAAGTTGGAAAGGCTTTGTCAAAAAGAGAAAAGGAAAATAATTTTTGTTTTAATCTGGGCAACTTTTAAAACTTTTTGTTTTTTAGGGAGGGGGTTCTGAATCTAATTCAGGATAAGTTCTCCACAATATTCAAATAGTCTGTAATGCAGAGCTTTTTGTTTTTAAGAAGTTCCTCATTGACTTTAAATTTGTAGGTTTTGCTTCTTGCTTGTACATTTGCTGAAAAACGTCAATAATATGTTTTTTATTTTCCATGTCAACGATTTGCTATAACATTTTGATATTGAATAGATTACTGTAAGTGCAACAAAGAAATATGACACCTACGGTATTGACACTGTCTGTTTCTACTTGAGGATGGAAATTTTAAGTAAAGAATGTAATTTTTTAAGTTTGTTGGAAATAGTTTTAATCTTGGTTACATTGTATTGTGATAAACTTTTGAACTGTAAAGCACTTCCTTTTTACTGAGCATTTCTAGCAAACATAGAGAGGCAAACAATCGATGAAGTAACCGCAATGAACTTGGAAACCACACTGAAAGAATCGGAAACATTGTGGTCTGAATTCCTTTTATAAGTCAATACCAAGAGAATAGCTGTATGAGGTAATTTATTCCCTCATCAAATATGAATTGGGCTGTGAAAGTTTGTTCAATATGGATACAATGTTTGCAAAATATAAAAAACTCACTTTGACGTCAAAATGACATCAAGAGTAATGAAATGGTACCTCTGTAAATACTGGAGATATTTGATTGAAAATATTTATAGAAGTGACCGCTCCACAGGAAAAGATTGTTCTTCTTTTAAATGGAGTTACAGGGTGCAGATTCCTACTTTTCACACCTTTCCTTCCAAGTTTAAGAAGTTAATGAGATCCATCTTTTGGGGTCATCTTTAGATCCATCTGTCCTTCAGCTGTTTTGAATAAAAAATTATGTTTCAGTGAGGGGCTAGTTTCTAAGGGGGTGCTCAATGGGGGCGTGTGAAGCGGGGAAAAGGGCAGGTATTTTAGCTTGCTCTTGGGAGTAGTCAGAATTAGAATGAGATACGGGGAAAGTCAAAGATCGCGCCATGATTTTCCAATTTTGTTTATCTATTTCCAAAGCAAATGGAGTGTATTTCCCTTGGTTGTTTTTTGCCAGGGTGTGTGGAGCCTAAGAAAGGGGAGCAAGGAAACAGGATTTTTTACGACACTACCGAGACACGATGTAATATTTGATGAAATAAGTTCAAGAAGAGTTTACCAGCTATACTTCCAGAAGATCTAGATAAAACAATGCGATTTCATATCTGGTTTCCCTCTTTGTACAAGGAATGCCTCAAACGTGATCTCATATCCAGTATTATTCATTTCACAAGGCCTGACCTGATGGGGACCTGGAGGAAAAGAACAATCATTTTTATTCGACCGTTGGGAAAGAGAAAGAAAAGACATCCTACGCAAATAGAAGCATTCCATTAAAGGTTTCTACACTGACTGTCTGACTAGCAGAATCCATGCACCTACTATTCTCTGATTTAAGGGGTGCAGAATGGTGAGAAAGCGTCACAGAGGAAAGGGACCAGTTTTTTTAATGTGACTGCAGGGAGTGAGAGTGTTCCCTGGAGCCTGCATCCCATCCCAACCTCCCTCTGATAAGGACTTTCTTGTAAAGTCTTGGTGGAGATGTAGACGTGATGTCTACTTTGGAGCACTCCTTTTGGAATTCAGGCGCCCGAGATCTGGAAATGGAACTGAAGTTTGTGAGCAAGCACCGGGGAAACTCTCCCCGATGCTACAAAAAGACCTATTCAAAGGCAAATGTTACCTATCTAGATAAGCAATACTTGTCAGGTGTTATAAAGAGAAAAAGCAGGTGAATTGATATCGGTTTCAGTAAAAGGTCGTTATCTACATCAATGCCCCGAGTATTTATCGGATGTGCTTTTTGGGAGTTTCGACCAAAAATTGTAACATATATAGTCTATTTAGATCTCTTGGAGACTATAAATAGCTGGAAACTAATTTGCTCATTAACAGATCAAGGGCAAGGGGATCATATGCACCATGGATAGATATTGCTAGAATTCAATTGTTGTCTGTTTTGATGACGATGGCTTGATACTTGATTCAGTTTTGAGAGCCCATGTGAGTCATGGCATCGACACCCCTAGTTTATCTGATTCAACTCTTCAACTCTTCATTGAGAGGACGATATATGAAGTATGTGGGATAAATGTGTGATCATGTGTTGGTCGGGGAAACGATAGGATACCCCAAAATAAGCATCATGTAACCCTTTCACCTATAGATCGGCAATCATTATCAATCAAATCCCAACTTTTAAACATGACAAAGTCCCTCCTTGTGTCTTCCAATTCCTTAGAATCAATCGACTGGCATGTCAAGTTGTGTTTGGTAGCTTCTTTTGAGAAGTACTTTCCTGCAATGTTGCAGAACTTTATGAACAAATGCATGATCAATGATTACAATGTCATTGACTCAAGTCTAAAATGAGCATTATAGCAGAAAATATGCAAAGGAAGAAACTCACAGTGATGCTTTTTTATCAAAGCCTGACTATAATTTTCATTACCATGTCTAATAAAGCACAAAAATCTGTCCAGTTTTGACTATTGTAAAGTTAACTACAGAAGCTAGAATATCAATATCAGTGAAGGGAGCTTCAAATCTGTCTAGCCAAAGTTGTTAATATCCCTGCAGTAATAGACAGTTCACCTGGAAAAGCATAACAGAGAAACAAAGTGCTTCAGGTGTAAATTAAAACACATTCCTGCTGGTATGTTGGATGTTTATATGCAATTAAATGCTTAAAAAATGTCCTTCAGGGATTCCTTCACAATAGATTATTAAGACTATATGAAAACCCGCTTTATGTTGTTATTTGCATTTTGTAAAGATGTTGTTTGTCAAGGCATCAGGCAATATCCTGCATGAATTAACCACATGAATAGTAAGCTTTTTTAGATTGATTTTGAGATAATATTTCTGGTCGATTAGGCTTGAAATCTTCTCAACATGTCTAAACATGAAGAACAAAATATTATTTATATATTTATTTTTGGGGTTGTAGAGCTTGTTGGATACACATATATATTTGCAGGGAGACATTCAAATTCAGCTTTATATTGATGGTTTCGGAGCTTTTTTTAATGTTTACTTCCTTTGATACTATTGGTTTTCATTTGACATGCATTTCCAGTGGGTTTAATTTGAAGTTTTCTTCAGCTTACTTTTCGATCTAGTGATGTAAATCTTGATATTTTCTATGCCATGTGAAATTTAATATGTTAATAAGGCCTAATCATGATAACCCAAAGGTTTTGTGCATTTTATTTCTATGATTATATAAATTATTTGAATAAATTTTGATATAGTGTTTTTAAACTTTTTTCTTTTTTCTTTTTTCTTTTTTTCAATCCAGCAATGCCTCCAAGTTATTCACCGGGCTATTCACCTTACCCCTGCATGATGCCCCAAGAAGGCCAGTCAGCGTCCCTCCCTACACAGATGCAACTGCCCAATCTCCCCCATCCTAGCCCTTCCGAGTCGCCTCCGCCCCCGCCGAGGGTCTACAAACCATGCTTTGTATGCGCGGACAAGTCTTCCGGATACCACTACGGGGTCAGCGCCTGCGAAGGCTGCAAGGTAACCTAATCATCACAATCTTGAAGAATTTCAGGGAAAAAAATACACGGGGGCGCGGGGCGAATTAGCCCCCAAAATGCAAAAAAAAAAGCCACGGAAAGTCATAAAAGAGCCCCCCAAAATTACATAGAGTTCAATGCAAAATAAACTAAAGAGTGTTATTTTCATGCAAGCAAGCTTTAAAAGTAGCCCCCTAAATTGTTTTAGTATTTTTTCCCTGTTGAAGATTTATTTCCAATTGCCACGACAAAATATGACATAGAGCATAGTGAACCTCACATTAATGTATCTTATATAATGCAGATATTAAAGAGAGTACCTTAGGGACCGTTGTTATTTTTTCTTTGTTTCTTACTCCCATTACAAAAGTCTTAATATTGCAGGGCAGTTACTATGTCTTAAGATAAGAGAAATATGCACAAATTAAAAGAAACAACCTAATTAAAGGGTAGATACCAAAACTTTTATCTTCATCCAGGGGAGAGTAGAATGTTCAACTCATTTTATCCATGGTGGGCATTCTTAATAACATTGATATAATAATGTTTTAATATCTGATTTGAATGTGAATTTTGCATGTGGATACAGATTTAGCCTACACTGTTTCTGTCCCTCTGTAACATGAATGGATGGAAATTTTGGTAAGTAAAAATAGGAAGAACCGATTTAAATCGTGTGGATCAAAATCATTCTGAAACCGATACAGAACAGTTTTGACGTCTAGAAGATGTGTCACAAAGATAATATCGTCCTCTTTCTTGTCTTTAAAAAATTATCTTCTTGGCAGGGTTTCTTCCGACGAAGCGTGCAGAAGAACATGCAATACACATGCCACCGCGACCAAAAGTGCATCATCAACAAAGTGACGCGGAATCGCTGCCAACACTGCCGGCTCAAGAAGTGTTTTGAAGTTGGAATGTCCAAAGAATGTAAGTATAAATGACCGACAGCGTCCAGTGACTTTGATAGATGAGTTGAAGTAGAGTTCTGATCGGGCCAAGGGCTCCTATTGTTCTGCCATTCTTAATTGATGTCATGCCGTGCATTGTGGGATATCGTTGGAGCTGACATTCAGGGTACGGGTTGTTAGACCCTTGTCCAAGAGAGTGTTGTATGTCCTGCCCTCTGACATAGTATGAAGGCTATTAACTGTAATGAATGGATTCTTTAGCATGACTATCTGTATTAGTTTGAGGTTTAAATGCTCACTCTGATGGTGGTTGTCTGTTGAATGTGCAACAGATGAAAAGAGCAATTATAATAATTATTTATCTAGGGAGGGAGGAAGAGAATAATTTCCGAACTTTATTTATGTCCAGTTTGGCATTAAAGGAATGAATTTGGTTTTCTTAATATTTAGCAAAATTTTAAGCAAAAAATAATATTTTTCCCTTTGATGATAAATTCTGTTTATCCTCGTGGCTGATAATTCACTTGCAACATTCTTCATTGTGTAGCTCCTTACATTCCATGATGCCTTTGAGTGGCTTGCTCAAAGACCACATCGTCCAGAGTCACTGCTACACTTTAAGACAGCCTAGGCTAGGTGAAGCTTGCAGGAAGTAGTTTTAGGGTACCTGTATTCCCAGGAGCTAGCCACATACACACCGATCTGTCAGCGATACGGGTCTCTCTAAATTTAGGCTCGTGGAAGTTTTAAAATACACCCCAGCTGGACAAGGCTTAATCTGAACGCCCCCGCATAGTTACTATCTTCTTTCCTTTGGACGTCATGCTCTACGAGACGCCTTTCACTTTTTAGTCCGTTTTCGGCTATTTGTGGATACCTTTCCTGGCCTTCTTTAAGTGACCATTCAGGATTTCAGGTTAGGAAGAGTTTAAAGAACTATTATTAGTACAAACAATTCCCTTTCTTCTGCCTCAGTTCCTTTTTTATCTTTGTTCGGTTATGATAACGATGATTGAAGTTCAGGATAAAAATGGAATACTTCAGGCATGCCCAAATGACCAATTTGTCAGCTGTGGGCTACTGGGCAAGACATTTCTTGTAAAGGTTAGAGGGGTGCCCTCGACAAAGGCCAAGGTTGGTAGGCTGTATAATGAGAACATTTTAAGCTGTCTTTGTGACATGTACGAATCTATAAATGAGATTACACAGTAATGATCAGGAATGGATGAACTGTCATTTTCTCGTCAAAGCATCTAATTTTCAGGATTGTTCTTGTCAGGAGGGATTACAGATCCAGCTTATTTCTGTAGTTACACCCTCTTTGTGAATTCATAGGATTGATCATGATTGTCTAGGGGATGAGGAAGAGTAAGGAATGTGAACAATTATTTTGTTGAGCCTCAATTGTATGACGATATATGTATATAGGCATGTTTTGGTTGCTGAATATAATTAGTTGTTGTGCAATGTCTGCCATAGAATTCTTTGTATTGAAAGGTACATCTAAATTAGCATTGTCATGGACAGTTGCTGATATTGTGACTATTCATGTAGTAACTCAATTGTCTTTGACAACACAAAATTAAACAACAATCCGCAACCTTGAAATTGATAAATAATTACCAAATGGATGCGCCATTTACAAAAGCCTTTCCGGGAAAAGTAACTCATCCCAGACATTAAGTATTTTTATTGCATCATATCAGTTGACAAATGATTGAAAGGCATTAGATTGACAACGTTCAGAAGCCATATATTACTATCTTTCCTTAATTACTGTCAAATGATTGTCAGCTTAAGCTCCCCAATGCACCAAGGTCAAAGGGACTCATCTGGATCGTTACCTTTGAGTGATCGCTGAAAAAAACATGTAAGGCCCGCTTGAAGGACCGCTGACGGTCGGTGTGTGCTTGTTTTCACCCACATCAAATGTTTGCATAACATTTGAATGAGGATAGTATCAGAAGTTATTGTCAGAAAGGGGGAAAAAAGGGACATTTTTCTGTTGCAGTTTACTTTGCATTCTTTCTGTGATGGTGATAGACCAAGTTGCAGACTCTGGGTTTTTTCTTCTTTAATTCATGCTATTGACAAAACGAAGGAATCTTTGTGCTGGTGTAGTTGTCTTTGCTAACAGGGTGTTGAAGGCGAATTGAGCTGCACTCTTTCAGCACTCAGTTGTCCGCCCGACTTCTGGTCACTTGCCAAGTTGATACTGATTCAAACTCATGTTGGCAAATAGTCAGCCGAGCTATTCTTAGCAAACGTGGGTGTGAAATGTTTGGGAGTGATGACTGGTCGCATGCAGTAGGGTGAGGAGTAAAGAAGGAAAGGGGCTTTCATTAGTACTACTGCCTGCGTCCACATATTGGTGGGTCGTGTATACCTCTTAGAGCCCCCTTGTCTGGACCAGATCGGGTTATCTGACTTGGTATATGACTTGCTTTCATTACAAGGTCCTGCTTAATTAAATCTTAGAGGGCTAGAAATTTTGAAAGAAAGATTGCAAGAGCTAAGAGAAAGCCTACAAATGAACATTGAAAAAGAATTTCAATCAGTTTAATTGATATTTTTAGAAAAAATAGCATGTTAGAAACCAATATCAGAAATGTCCATGTATATCCATCAGAAGAATATTTGAAGTCCGGAAATTCAGGTTGCTCTTCTGAAACCCATTCCTTCACGTATGAATGATGGGGCCTCAGTGATTTAAAGTCGTGCTAAATTCTTACCATTTCCGACATTTCAGTTGAGCCAGTGGGGGTGGTAATTACATGTGAATGGATTAAAGGTTAAGTTTCTACAAATTACCATCAAATTACCATTAAATTACCATCAAACTACCATCAAATTATCATTGAATTACCATTGGATGTCATAGGACCTTGTCTATTCCATGGATGGTAGAGGCAAAGGGTTGGTGTATTCGGACCATAGAAGGCCAGGAGTGAAACATTTTCTATTTTTAATTGTTGTTTACATACATACATACGTGGAGGGCATACGGACATTGATAATAGAGTGATGAACATCTCCACTCAGCCATTGAAATACGAAAGGTGTGTCCAAGGCCCTAATCTATGAGGCTGAATGGGGTGTGGGTGTATGGAACAGCCCCGGTATCCTTCCATCATCTTAACCCATTATGTGCCTCCCCCAATCATTATCATTACCAGTTGATGTGCAGCTTACGTCTGTATGGGGCGAATTTTTTGATGATCCATCATTTGCTCTGCTGGCATTTGCTACTGGCATTGATTCATGAAGGGTATAGGGTTAGGGTTAGCGTTGCGATTTGGTTTTAGGTGAGGTTTGGGTTAAGGGTTAGGGATAATGTTCAGCATATGGTAGTGGATATACTTATAGGTAAGGTGAGGTGGGGTTTGGGGTTAGGGGTAGGGGTAGATACAGTGTTTGGTACAGAGGTCAGGTTAGGAATTTGGTTGGTTTAGGACATTGACTGCAGAGCAACTGTTGCTGTAGGATCTGTGGTAGAACTGATTTCATACAAAGTTTTAGGCCCATTGATAAAATGACAGAAACTGCAATTTTTGTATAAGTATAGGCTCGTAGGCCAAACAGATAATACCAAAAGAAGGATTAGAGGATATGGAATATACTAAAGTCACTGTTTCACAAAGTATAGAACAATATTACTCTATACTCTGTGAAACGGTGACTATATACAGCTGTGTTGTGAAGCGAACAAACTTTAACCATTCATTTGAGATTGGCTGTATCCTGTGAAAACCCAAACATTTCATGCTAAGAGATTTTTGATGACTTTTTAGTGGGAGGTATTCATCGTTCACTTCCAGTCCTGTGATTCCTCTGGCCACCCACGCCACATGACAGAAAGGTCTCATGTCAACTGTTTTCTGGGAATCCCGGGGATAAACTCTTCCTATTACAATCGTGTTAGAGTGCAACGAGGGGCGAGGAAAGCGATGCAAGCGTGGGGTAACGTGAAACGCCGAGCAACTGTTGCAACGTTGCGTGTGGTTGGGTCTGGTGTGATCACGAACCAACAGAGGCTCGGCACATTGCATTGATCGTGATCTATCCTATCTATACTATCTACATGTATCACTCACTCACTCACTTTCCCAATCACTCCCTTTTGTTTTAAATGTTTGTTTTCATTTTACCCCCATTCTTTCCTCTTCCTCTCAATATTACTTTACCTCTGCCCTCCTTATTTATACCTGCATCCCTCATTAATTCCTTGACATTATCTATTTCCTCTCTTTCCCTGTCAAGGATATATTTATGAATATCTTTGTATGGATCTCTCTCTCTCTCTCTTGCTGACTCTCTAATTGCCATCTTGCTTCTGGTCTATCTGTCAGCATCTCCCTATGTACTTCTTACCCATTTATTCTCCTTTTATTTCTTTCTTTCTCTTTCTTTATTTCCTTTTCTTCATCTCTTTTCTTTTCTCTTTTCCCCATTAACTTGTGTTTTTAGAGCCAGAACTGAGAAGGGCATTAACTCATATGCTTGAACACATGGTTAATGCTCGTCTTGCTCTGAACAGATGAATGATCTCAGTCATAGCTTTCTCTTACACATTTCCATGTACTTCTCCATCGCGTCTCATGCTTGAATCTGCCAAGCCCATCTTCCTCACTTCTACCCATCTCTGTGTATCGTCCCATCACATCTTGTTGACATCATTTATTAAGTGTAGGGTAACATACAGGGAGGACAAGAAAATATTTGTCAATGATTCTCTTCAGTGATATAACCCTCCTTCCAATCTTGAGGAATCATTATCAGCATGTTCTCACTGGCGCCATTTCCATACGCTGTGATGATGCATCTGAAGCGTAACCTCCTTCACATTGAATAGCAAAGTGTGATGCAATAGAAAAAGTTAAGGTATTGAAGCCCTTATTCTGATAACTGATGCAGTGCCTGGGAGTGGGGACGGATTAGTGCCCTCGGCAGCATGTCAATTTCAGCGTGTGTATTTTTCCATGTGCGTTTATTTGTCTGTTTGCCTCGTACGCTTGTCTCATCCAAGTATGCAAGCCATACATTTAATCATTCATGAAAGTCCAAGTAGCCTTTCCCCAAGACAGAATTTTTTTTTGTGTAGGAGAGGGGGAGGGGATGGGGATATTATGCTCATATAACTGATGTTTACTTGACTAATTCCCCTATTTTTTCTGATTGTTTTACTTTGATTGACAAGAAGAAATTTCATTTGGGGGGGGGGGGGGGACGTTATATAAATTTTCATTTAATTTAGTAATGACAACCATACCTTTTTTAAAGTGATTCTAGTTATTAGAAATTAAAGAGGTAAAGTATCCAATCAACTTTGAACAGAGGGCTAAACATCTTGGCATTCAAATCTGCTTTAGACTATATTATATTAAGCAAGGTGAAGAAATAGAGAGACGAAAGTCAGATATTAATACAGACACTCTTGAAGAAAGGCAAAATATCCATTTCATATTAATATTGAAAGACGCTCGCTTTGCAGACTTTGTATATTCAGGGACTGTATATTGGACATGGTGTGTGCGTAGTGTGCCCGGGAGTATGCGTACATTCTAAATGAGCTCTAGATGTACTGGGAGTACGTGTTCCGTGAAGCCAGACGAGATATGAGAAAGCATGGCGAGGCTCTGTGTGCTCTCCGCCGCAGTCTTGCCAATTTATTGCAATGTTATTGATTGGTGTAGGAATGTCCCACCGCCGGTAGATTGTATAAATTGTCTGAAGCCTGGGCTGGCTGCCTGGCAAGCAGCCATGAGATGCTAACCACATTTATCCATTCATAAGAAACGAAGCACACTCAAAGCACACTCCAAGAGCATGCGTATACTCTGGAGGAGAAGGGATGATGTGTGTTGAACGATGGTGGTTGGCAAAGATGGGGTTCACATGATTTGGAATATTATGGGAGTTTGAAGTATTAACATGATGGGAAAAATAGATGGTTATGAACATAAAGGTTTCATCTGTGCCACTTCTCTTTTCTGAACTATCTATAAATGCAAGGCTTTTTTTTGCATCTATAGGAAAGAAATTCTATAGGATTGCAGTTTAGTCTGAAATAAGGAGCATTGGTTGACATACTCAGCTATCCTTGCAGAAAGCATGCTTTGTAAATGAAATCAATAAGACTTAAAAAAATGAGCTTTAGAAGTGAAGATTTCAGATAGATTGGGTAGGCGGAAGATCATTTCATTGAGACTAACAACAAGGCCATTTTCTTTTTGAAATAAATTGAAGTCCCTGGGAATTGATTGGATATGTCCTTCATGGAGACCATTCACAAATGTGCATTCCTCCCAATGAATAAACCAGAATACATTTCAGCTTAGACTCATGAAAAATACATGTTTTAACAGAATGAAAGCATCTTTAAAGGGCTGGTATTTAATCATTTACGCTAATGGGGGGTACGGAATACATTGGAAAACCATGTTTCGTGATTGATGTTTGGGTTGGGTTGACTTGGGTTTTATGGTTCAGGCAGAGCTCATTTGTTAAACATGAATGAAATATTCATGTCACGTCTAGTGAGAAATGTGCGTGTTATTCCAGTTGACTGGGTTTAGGTGCGAGATGCAGGCTTTGAAGCTACCAAGATGAATGTTATCAGGCTATCACATGAGAGAATGGGAGAGAATGAGAGAAAGAAGAGAAGAAATAGAACTAGAGATAGGGAGTGGAAGAGAGGGAAGATAAGGAAAGCAATCGTATGGGGGCTTTGAACTCAAGATGATAATTCTACCCAAGTTATCTCCAAGAGAGGAGGGGGGGGGGGGCAGCGACACGTGATGAGAGGGCTTTGACCAGAGATGGTAATTCTACCGTGATCGTATGAGGAGAGAAGGAGACGGAGAGGGCTATGAACTAGGATGATAATTATGTCACGCCAAGAGGAGGCGGAGAAGGGGAAAAGGTGGGATGAGAAAGATAGAGTCGAGGTTCTCAGGAGGAGAGAAGGGAGATAGAGAAGACAAGGAAGATAGAAAAGACTAGGAAGCAATGATTTTAAAAGGGATGGGGTCAGAAGGAGAGAAGGAAAGAAATGACGACATGAAGGCAAGATAGAAAGAAAGAGGGATAGTGTAGATGAAGATAGAATGGGTTCTATGAAGCTTGCAGGGGGAGAGCAGTGTAGAATGAAAATCTTGTGATGGGGGAAACTAAAGAAAGAAGGAAATAAAATAAAATGTATAAGTCAAGCAGAGTGAGATAAAGTTCAAGAGCAAGACTTTAAGAACATCAGAGCGTAAGAGAGCCTCAAGTGTTTTCGTTTTTTGTCTCTTAGCTTGTCTAGTCGTCTAGTCAACTTGAAGAAAGTGTGAAAAACCTGAAAATATATTAATTAAAGTGATATATATTGGAATAAGCATTGAATTTACGGATTCAAGAGTTCTCTGTCCATACGTGGGAAAATACACATGCAGGTGATTGAGAGTTTATAGGATTCTGGCCTAGAGGTAGATGAACTCAATATGTCTGGCGCCCTCACATGGCTATTATTTAATAGTGCAGTGTGAGAGTTTACATAGTTGCCTTATATTCAAGCCAAGATTGTCAAAATCTCTATCTAGGGTCGAGGGATTTACTTTGCTCCCTTTTCGGTTAGGTTAAACTTACTTTTAAAGATTCATAGACCTCCCTTTTCCAATTACATAGTAATGAATGAAATATCTTATAATATGTATGGATTAATACTTAATGAGAGGCTAATGAGAGCACTAAAATTGAAAAGAGAAATGGGAAAATATGCACATGCACAAAGTGTGAAAGTTATATAAAGCCTTGACATATAAGAAATGGCATCACCCATTGTATTGTAGTGTTTTCATCGACTGAACTGTTTCATAATGGACATATCATCATTGATATAATGAACCGACGAATCTATACATTAATATGTTTGATTTATTCGTCTGTACATAATAACAGTGATTATATTTACAAGTAGTGTACGAATAGAAGGCTGACAAGAAGCAGACAACAGCTGTAAATGTCACATTCCTTCTGTCTGCTGACGTTAGCCTTTTATCAAGCTTTCAAACCGTCTATATCTGTTTTGATTAATAGCAGTTGAATTAAAGTGACTTGTTACGTTTTCTCATTAAAGTTTTCAGTAGTACTATACAAAGATGTACATGTGCATGGAAGCCCAACTTAAAATCCATAGAAAAACATTATTGGAAATATTCAAGCAAAGTGATTTGTTTAATATGTTGAATAAAGAGTATACTCTAATACCAAACAATTTCTTCTACTGTTTTCTATATGCACAGTAACCAAACATTGTAGTACCATATAACATTTAGTATTTCAATGAGACTTTTCCCTTTGTGGTTGATTTTCTTATTTTTATCTTGCCAACAGTTTTGAATAATTATATCTTGTGAGATAAATTGTACCTTTAAGCCAAACTGAGCAGGGTAGATTCATCGCAGCAGGGGTTAAATTAGTTTAGATTCGCGTCTCTCGTAGGCCTCAAACCTTGTGTCTGATCATGCAAGTGTATGGAAAGAATTAGTGGCATGTGAATCAAATATTCCCCCCAAAGACCTGGAAACAGGCTATCTGTCTTGGCTGGCATTGATCAGAGTGTACATAACAGTGCAGAGTAACATGATAGCAATATTCTCTCAATGTTTGGAGTTCAAGGCAAATGCTAGCATAGTGCAATACTTTTGAACTGCAGCTGACAGCTAGGCAGGGAGGATAATGTTGCAGTGGCTGATAAATGAAAAGGATAGGGAGACGTTAAACCACGGTATTATTTCTCTTAGGTTGGATGGAGTAAGATAGGAAGGTATTACTGGATGGTTCAGAGATGAGCCATCAGTAGGCAGCTCTGATATCACTTGAATCTTGTTTTCTATTCAAGTCTTTCTTGGGTTGCATGCAATGATCTTTGCTACAGGACTACAACATGTTTTCATGCAAAGAAGTTTCTTCCTTGCTTCTCTATTCTCTCTCATAATCATACCCCTCCCTCCCCCCTCTCTCTCTCTCTCTCTCTCTCTATTCATACATTTTTGCTATATTTCTTCTATTCTCTCTAGCAAATTCTTCCTCTTTCACATCATTGCCTACATTCTCTCATGTCTTGTACATTTTCTTTTCTTTGTCAACCCCAGACATTTTGTTTATTTTGCCTTTGTGTCCCAATATAGAGAAAAGAATATGTTATATCTTATGCCTAGTCTTTGTAATATTTTGTATTAAATTGAATATTTGTTGTGACATTTATGCTCACCTGATGTTCTCTTCTTTATTACTGATCAATTCCCTACATCTTAAAGTTCGCATATGGTCTCCATATGTCTCAACTCAATTTCATCTATTCCCAGTACATTTGTCATCTCTGCAATCATTTATGAAAAGACAATGAAGCAAGACAGAAACCACTTAAGATATTTTCTTCTATGATCTTGATGTGTCGTCCCCCACACATCATAGCTGATCCCTTCAGCGTTACGTGCCCTGTCTGTCTGCATTTCCCCTCTAAGGATTGTTTCTCACGAAAGGACCGTCAGATTGGGCCTCAGCATCCTGAAGTATCACAAACCGAAGGAGATAACTTCCTCTGTAGCGTGTCAAACCATCCAGCGAACTCACGATGATGTACTTTCAAAGCAGTATTAGGTTCCTTTCTGTAACGCTTTTGAAGATACGTTTGCATGGGTGCAATTAAGACACCGCAGGAATGCCCCTTTACACAAATTAGAGCGAACAGCTTGATTAACCAATGATTATTTCTCTGTCTCTTTGCATTTCCTCCCTGACCACGTTACATGCAGGCGTAAGGAACGACAGGAATAAGAAGAAAAAGAAGAATGATGAGGTGACCGAGAGCCTGGTAATTCCTACCGAAATTGAAGATATCCTCCAGGAAGTGCTACGAGCCCACAGGGACACCTTCCCGCAAAGACCACTACACCCAATCCACAATGCGGTGAGTTCAGGGAATATTGCCGATCTGGTTTGGTTGGGGGGGGGGTATAACTTTTAGAGTTGGGGAGCGGGTGGTTGGAAGGATGGCTGTAACATTTTTGTTTTTAATGTGATTCTGTAAGCCATGCAATTCAGTTATTTCAAATTCAAAAGGATGCATCTTTCAAAGGCCACTATTACAATCATCCTTTAGTGAAGGGAGTCTCATTGTTAGGATTAAAAAATTAAAAAAACAGGTATCAAGTTTTGTTTAAGGATTAGATCAAAGACTGTAATTAATTTGCTTTAATTAGTAATTAAATGCTTCTATACAAGGACCACTAAATCTATCTATCAATATTCATGACAACTAAGAAGTGATAAATATGAGATATTTTCAGTTAACTGGATGCCTCAAAATTGAATACAAATTGGAAATTTTGTTCATTACTGTTATTAATATTTGTGTAAAAGGAATGATTTATTTTTAAAATGTCTTAGGTGCAGGGGTGGGAATGCTTCTAGTCACTTGTAGATGTTGAGTGTAGGAGAGGAGGGAAAAGAGGGCAAGAAGTGGTTTTAAGGGAGCGCTTGGTGCATAAAATCCACCTTCTTCCTTTCTGTGGTTAATGCTATGTACATTTACCTTAGAGACCGACTCCCCTTGCGTAAGAGGATTAGGAATAGGACTTCCCGAGCAACCACCGGCACTTCACAGGGGAAAGTTGCAAATGATCCTGATAAAATTAAAATATCATGACTCTGGAACTCTGTGACCTTAAATGACCCTAGATTTAGTGTATGAAATTGTAACATTTCCATTGAAGACCTCGTGTAGGGTTCACTCTGTATAGATTTGGAATTTAAGACCAGTAATACCTCCTTACATTGTGTCAGAGCAATACATAGGCCAGTGCCCTCCTTAGATAGCTGTAGAGACAATGTAATGAATGTAGAAAAGTGAAGAAGAGGAGCAGGAGTAGGTAATTGATGAAATCTACCAGCTTTTTGTTTCTGTGCCACCCTGAGAGTGTTTTAATGAAGAGGCCGCAGAGCACGAATGGGATAACTAGGGATTCTAGATTGAAGTTTACAACAATCGGTTTGTTTCTGTGGCACGACACTCATCCCATCTTTTCTTTCTTTGTTTCCCTTCAGGATGATGAGGAGGAGGGGGTCCCGAACCATCCCGTCAGTAACTTCAAGGGGCAGGACATTGACATGGTCATGTTCGACTATGTAACTGACATGTCATCACGGGCCATCGTCATGGTGGTGGACTTCGCCAAGAAACTGCCTGGCTTCCTCTCGTTGAGTACACAAGATCAGATCACTCTCCTCAAAGCCTCTTGCCTTGATATCATGGTAAGTATTTAAAGATCGTCTGTACTAGTTTGGCCAGGAGGGATTAGACCACCCAGGGTGGTCACTGACAGGTGGCTATCTCATCAACTCCGCTCCCAATTAACATAAGAAAAAGAGGATCATGGGGGACCAATGTTCACTGATTAGGCATTGCTTTCTATATAGAGGGAGCAAGTAGCTACAAGTAGTACAGTGGGGCTTTAAAATCTAACAGTATTCAACCACTTATGTGGCACCACGTTTTTGAACAGTTGTAATGAATGAATTTTCGAGAGCAAGATTTAGACTTGAAATACATGTACGAGTGCATGGTAAAATTGGGCATTAAAGTAAATACTCTGGGCATAAATTTCAAAATAAAGATAACTTCATCTTTTAGTTAGAAAAAATAACCATTCTTAGGTCAAACACATTGTACAATAGCTGCCGATAAAATTAAAGGCATTATTATTTCCCTGAGATTTGTTGTAGAAGTTTAATATCATTATTCACACATTGGTCACTGTTTTTGCAACTGTCACATCCATTTTAATCTTTTAATAGAGAACTGAACATGACTATTCTTTAGGTACACTGCAGAATTTTGTTGTTGAGTGTACCATTTTCTCATGTGCTCGTGTATGATCTACTGGTAATGTAACAAGATGATATCTTCATAAATGAGTAAGATGTGAGGCTCTTTTGAGCATTAACTTCAGTGATCTATATATATCAGAAGACAAAGTATTCTGTAATCTTCAGGTAACATTCATGTTCTTCCCTGCCATAATGGTTATTCTGTGCGTTCTTGTTTTCATGCATATCTTTTATGTCCCTATCTTTGGCAAGACAATGATCTACATTTGCCACACTCAACCCAGGTGATGTAAATGGGTACCTGGCAGGAATTAATTCTTTGAAATGCTAGAGCGCCGTAATGGCAGCACAGCTAAAGCGGGGTAATTATCTCCAAGTTTGGAAGCACTTAGTCATTGAAATAAGCGCTATATAAAAACTGATTATTATTATTATTATTATTATTATCTTCTCTTTAGATCCTGAGAATATGTTCCCGTTTCAACCCTCAAGATGCCAGTGTGACCTTCACCACTGGACTGACCCTAACTCAAGGTCAACTCAAGGCTGGTGGCTTTGGTAGTCTTCTTGATGTGATCTTCACCTTTGCTTCATCTCTCTCCAGGATGCACATTGATGAGACTGAGATTGCTCTATTATCAGCTATCTGTCTCATCAGTGAAGGTAAGAAAGAGACAACTTGAAGGGATCCGGTAGCTTTGTCTCAGATTCTGAAACAAAATCCTGGATTTGGCTCATGCTGCAATCATGATTATAAACATTTAAGTCAGTCAGGAATCCCAAGACTTTTACAAGCTGATTGTCTGGCTGATTATCAAGATATTTATGACTGGAAATCGAAATCAAATTTTGCATTTTCCTTAAAGATAAAGTTGACTTCTGGTCAAGCAGTTACATTGTGAAGTATTTGAATGTGATCAGGGAGAAGTTGAATTTGTAGTGCATACAAGTTGGTGTATACTGTGAGGATTTGGAGTCATCAAAATTATAAGAATTCTTGCTGAAAGTCACGTACACTGAAAAGGGAAATGTTAAATCGGACTACGCACACACATGTAAAACAAAGTTTGGTCAAATTTTTGTCCCCATTTAATTCTTGGCATATTTTGAATATCGGCGCATTTGAAGAGTAATCATCTTCAGGCTTCTATGACATTCTTTAAAACTAACATAAAACAAGAAAGAGAGAGCTTACATTTTGTTTTTCTTCAGAGTAGATAGCTTCACATTCTCTAGTCTTCAGGACCTGCTGATAATCCCACATCTCTGATGATAATGATTCACAGCAATTATATGGTTCCATATCTCTGTTTTAAAACATTCAAATATCCATTATATACAGTTGGTGATAACAAGCTTTTCATTTTCTTCTTTTTTTCTCTCGTTGGTTAGACCGGACTGGATTGGAGGATGCTCCAAGGATAGAGAAGATGCAAGAGCCTCTGCTAGAAGGCTTAAGACTGTACGTCCGCAAGCGTCGGCCCAAGGAGTCTCATTTCTTCGCTAAGCTTCTCATGAAGATCACCGATCTACGCTGTATCAGCGTCAAGAGTAAGTACAACCCATCAAGAACGATGATAGCATGCATGAGACGCATGTTATTTTATGACATATACTCCAGTTGCAATGGGTCTTTGGTTAATATTCTAGTCTAACCAAAATCCAGACTTCTACTCCGACCAAACACTATAAGCAGCCCTAACTCTAACTCTGACCCTAATATTCAACCGAAACGTAATCTAAACCTGAAATGCGATGTTAAACGTAACCTTTATATCCTTCATGAAATAGAGCCTAAAGTAAATGTCATGTCATCTAATAAAATGGACTTTACAGTAATGGATTTTTTTAATGAAATAGTGTTGTAAAGTGTTCTTAGTAGCTGATTGAAATGTTATGTAGAAAAGCTTGAGTTGGCCCAATCTAGGAAGAGGGATTTTTTTTCTTCACAAATTAAACAATATTTGTCCACATAAGAAAATAACAGTTTCTTCCAAGTAAGTTCTCAACATGGTTACGTTTCAATGTTATGCTCAGCCTTTTGAGCACTACATTCAAGATTACTAATTACCCCGTTAATTTTTTGAACACCTGAAATTCCATTGTGTCTCTTTGTAAGGGTCGTGTTTGTCTTTAAATTTTTGTAAGGTATTTGCTCACTCACATAAACCAAAGCAGAATAGAATTGAAAATAAAATATATGTATATATTTATAATATATTTTATTCTTATTTTGCTTTTATAGGTGCAGAGAAGGTATTCGACATGAAGGTGGAGTTTGTAAAGGAGATGCCAGCTCTCATCTCGGAGATGATCGACAAGAATGACGACGAGTAGCCATCGCGCAGCTTTGAAAGGAAAAGTAAACAACAACAGAGCAAACCGACCAATCAAATCACATGTTAATTTTGTATTTTATGTCCGACCAATCAGGAGCTGCCTTTCCCTTGTCACTGCTTTGTACCATATAAGAGAAAAGTTACAAAGCATAGAGAGGGGACTTATACAGTGGATGAGTGAGTGTGTGGATGTGTGAGTGTGTGTATGTGGGTGTGTGTGATTGCGAGTATGTGTACTTGTGTGAGAGAGAGAGGATACAAAATAACGGGCTGGTCATGCATTGACACTTTTGATAACGATGAAATTGATCTATGTAGAAAAGTTATTGGATCCTTAAAATAGGTGCTGAAAGCTTCTTAGCATAAACCAGTTAGTAACACCATTATCCAATACCTTTTCTATAAACAATTTTGTTGTCATTCGGTGATATGTGACCAGCCTTTTAATAGTTGCTCTACATGTTCATTTTTCTTTAGCCCAAGTAAAGATTTGAACGCGAGGGAGCTTGTGTGTGAGCTGATGTAGAGAAGGGTTGCAACAACCATTAAATGTTACTATTATCATAAATATATTTTTGTGAAGTATGCCATATAATTGCGAGACTGGATTGGAATAGAAAGTGCAGAGGAAAAGTTATTGATTAAAAAATCTATGAGTGGACCCATTCTGCTGTATTTCAAATCCTTTTCATGCTGGAATGAAATTATAGGTATGAAGGCTTTGATTTAGTTGATTCTGTACATGTATACTTCAAATGTGGATCTTGTGCCAGGTATTTTGTTCAGGAACTTGTGTTATAACAGAGAGAAATTATTATTTCACCCTCCTCTTGTGATTGATGGATGAAATAGGAACTCTATCCTCCTTTTATATCTATGCATCTTGATGTTGTAGTTGGAATCAATCATGTGTGCATCAAATTTACATCATATGTACATGTTGAATTCAGAGGGGAAAACCCCTTGTTGAGTCAGATGGTGTCAATTGTACATTACTGGCAGAACAAGGGGTTTCCCCTCGTTTCTAATGAAGTGCACTTACAGTCAATCTTTGTATTACATGTGATTTTCTTTGGGTTCACTCACTCTGATGCAAAACAAATCATAGCAAATGAAGAAAAAAATGAACATTATAGGAATGTATACAAATCTTCTCCAATTAAAGTCTACCATATTTGATTGCAATTGATTCTTGTTTTCATCGTTTGAAATCTTCCTGAAAATTAGATAGCTGTATGATTCTTAGATATTTCTATTTGAAAAATCAAGTGAATTCATTCACTGACAATTTTGAAATGAAAATCAGAAAAAAAGTTATCGGTGTACAAAAGTGTAGAATCAAAATCATTAAGTAGACAGTTGTGATGAAGTTTATGAAACTTTGTTACTCCTTTTAACACTAGCATGAACATAGAGTGTAAAATATGCCCAATATTCTGTATAAAGATTCTTTCCATCCCACCCCATTCTAAAGTGAATCATATTTAGTCTTCAATAGCTGTGAACATAAGAGTGCTTCTGTGATTAATAATATTGTATGCATGTATGATTCTCTGTGAAATACATAGTGGAATTTTTAGTGTGACACTAAATTGTTATTGATGGCTTTAGACTTTTTAATTGTCAAATTGAAGAAAGTTACAATTTGAGAATAACACAGGAATCAGCAAGTTGGTGAACTCCATGATCATCTGAAATTCTATTTTGATATATCTGTGCTAGAATGAAGAAAACGGATGGGTTTTTGTCAGATTGGTTACCAATTACCTCATGCATCTCTATAGCCATATGCAAACAAGGAATATTATGTTCACACTAAAAATTCCACCATTCTTCAAAATTACTGGTGCTATTACGAGGAAGGAGAGTAGAATGATAAATAATTTTGTTAGTTTTTCCATTGCTGCCTAGAAATCTCTCCACCCACTTTCACCCACTCTCTCTCTCAGAAATCAGCCATGCCTCAAATTGGCAATGCAGAGGCTATCGGTCTTTGAGAGGGATAGGGGTAAAAGCAACGTATGCTATAAATCACTGCCATTTTATCTCGATACGAAATTTACTCTGAAACACTGATAATTGTTCTGTTTTTGTTTCTTTTTTTAATGAATCTGTTTACACTGCCATAACATAGTTGTCAGACACATTGTCACTGTATTCCCTCAGTATATCATCATGTTAGGGTCTGTCACGTTGATAACATTGTACAGACCATGCAGCCTGTCAACTGGGTACAGACTACTATGTTATTGAACATCATGTCAGGCAGCAAGAACAGTTTGATGACAGTTCTGCAACTGTATCTTCAATACACTCAATGCCATTAGAGACATTTCGTGAGTAGCAGAGTCTACCTGCATGGGCAAAAGTTTGATAGTTATGATGTTCTATATAACAATTTGGAATGAACTTGTATAAAAGGGTTGTGCACAGTCTGTACAATGCAGAAACTGTTCATCATGGAACATTATTATCATGAAGACAAAAGAAAAGTGTACATATGAACAGGCTCTAGCCATTCATTCATTCAGCAATAACACTTAAGTATTTATACCATTAATACCTTGGTATGTTGGTTGCTTGGTGAAAATTATAGCTCAACTTCATCAAAGTGCTATTTCACATTTGTAGGCATCTCTTGTTAGCAATGTTCTTGTAGACACTCATAACTCTCTTTACTACAGATCCACATTGCCGGAGCGATATGATTTAGGATTCTTCATTGTCTACCAGCTATTTAATTCTGGATAGAAAATATATATGTATTCCATAGGTTTATCCCCCTTTTCTGAATCAAAATTTGCATAAATATGAATTTTGATGTGGTGTTATTTAGGAGACATGTTTATGTATTTGAAAAATGATCAAATTTTATACAGAATGATATTTTCCACTCTCTTTCTTCCTTCGTCTCAGTTGTAATTCGATTTAATTCTTCGCTTGGCGCTGGCACTTAGAGATTTGTACAAAATAAACAATATGTTCTTCATTTTTTAATATTGAACTGAAATAACAAGTTGTAGATATGCGAGGAGTATTTTTATGATCATGTAAAGTGTGACGATTGTGTTCGTTTTTGATGGTATTATTGTTATTGTTTGTTGATATGTATAGAGCATTTGGAGTATGATTTGCCACTTACTTTAACCGTATAAACCCCATTTGCGTTTGCTTCTTGCTTCTTAACATTTTCCCTACATGCAAAAGTTGTTTAATTACTAATAAGGCATGATTCGTTGTAAGAACAATCTTTCATGAAGTGATTTAAAAATAGACTGAACAATTATCATTTTGAATCAAGAAAATGACATAAAAAGATTGAACCTTTAGACTACATGTAATTCATGCCTTCAGTACTAAGCCGTAGGCTTAAAGCCTTATAAAAAAAACTAACAGATTTTAGTATGTTTTTATTAAAAGTTGTAGTTTGCTTTCAAAGCGTACTTGCCCTATCTGTTTGTGTAAAATATCCATGATTTCTAAGATCATACATTTTAGTATGCTGTCAGTTTTAAAAGATGAAATTGTATTAAGAGTATGTATTGGTATAAAGACTAGTGTTTCTGGGTTTTGGAAATATATATATATTGTGATAAGGATCTAATATTGAAACTACTTGACTTGTTGCCCAAGTTTGCAGTAGACAACAATTTAATATCCACCTTTTTAAGACACTTCATTTTCTTTAAAAGCAGTTTAATATATCAAATTTTCTGTTGATGTATTATCAATTTCTATGTATTGATATAAAATGATAAATGATATTTTTTTTTTGGGGGGGGGGGAGGGGGCGGGAGCAGAGGGGGTGTTAATTTCTATAAGAAAAGAAATAAATAATACTGCTAGAAGGTGTAACCATGATAGTTATACCAGCAAAAATCCTAATATTTTATGGATGATGTATACATGGAAGTACATGTATTACAACATCAACAAAATGTTACTTTGTTATCGCACCATCTTTGTGAAAGACTGAGAGAGTTATAACTTTGCTTAAATTGAAAAAATATGAAAGAATATTTTACAAGTTTTAAATTTATGACATTCTATTAAGAGCCATCACTTTTTCTTTACCTTTTTTAAAACATGAAAGCTGGAAACTTTTTTTTTTTTTTAAAGAACAGATTTCTTGAAATATGAGAATGTGCAAGTAGTTTACTTTCAACGAATTAGTTTAGGAATACAAATTTTTGACCCTTTTTAAAAGTTGTTATCCATTGTGTTAAATAAAGAATTGGCACAAATAAATATATATCTACGCAGCTGGTGTGTACAGTATCAATATACCTACTGAAATTATTGAGACAGAAAACTTAACGAAAATCGTCTCTTTGCTCTCAGAAGATTAGGTACTGTATTTATGATTTTGCTCTTCTTATTATTCTTTTTGAGATATGATTTTAATATCTAAAATGCTTGTATTTATCATGTACCATGAAAGGAGCTTTAAAATAGGAACTGAAAAGTTAGACTAGTATTACGACATTCAGGACATGCAAGAGATAAAACCAATTGATGCTTGTACTTTCTTCCAAAAACTGAATCCAGAATGCATGAGAGAAATTATTTTACAGAGTTTTAAGATTCTAAATAGTGATAATGATTAGAAAGAGAGAGGAAAGGAGAGCACATGTGTATATCAGCATTATGTTCTAACTCAGTTGTAAATATAAAGTAATCTAACAGTCACACACAGAGAAAGGAGAAGAAGGTTTAAGAATTGAGGAAATCAAATTTTATCCAGTTTAAACCTGACTTATTCTTGAAAGGCAGCATGAAAAGGTTGCAGCAAAATGAAAATGGATTGTATAAATCTTTCAAAGGAACTTTTATTCATTCATTTGTCTTTGTTGAATTTTGGCTGTGAGATCAATAATTTGGAAAACAGTGCAAAAGCAGCAACATATGAAGCCTATGCATGCAGCCATACGTCATGGATACATGCTTGTATCTCAGATGCAATCCAATTCTGATAATCTGTGATGTTCCTTTCTTCATGTGACTGATATAATTACAAGATATTTGTAATACTCCATCTTTAAATACATCACCATTGTAAACTAAACTTACAATGTATATGTTTATTCACATTAACATTTTCTCCCATACTTTACCCTCATTTTGTCTTATTTCCTTCACTTGAATATATATTTTGAAAGTATATTTTGAAATCTGTTGTATGTAATATGGCCATTTCATTCTTCTATGTTCTTGTAAATTATATATGTTCACTTTTTGTATATCTAGTGAGTGTTTTTTCGCTATACAGTCATCACTCACATAATAAATAGTAATTTGAGTGTAGGGAGAAATCATCCTTTTTGATGAAGGATAAATTAAGATTGTGTTTTAAAGATATGTTCATATTTAAGACTGTTAATTCTTGTAGGGTTAGGAAGAGTGCTTTATTTTGTTGTTGAAAATTAAGTAAGAATTAAAAATGAGTGAGAGAAGGGAACTCATTTAGAAGGTGAGAAATTAAGCCATGGATGTAACCAGCAAAAAATTTACATTTTTGAACAATAAAAAAAATGAGGAAAACATTGTAATTTAGATCCTTTTGTCAACTGCTTTTTTGTGATGCTTGTTCATGATAATATTTAGATTTTAAAATAAATTTGTGAGGAATGAAAGAATTTGTGAGAGGCTTGTGTCTGAATTCTCAAGAATATGGGGAATCGGAAAGAAATGAGAATGTATTTAGTTACACAAGCAAGTAAAAGATAAGGATACAAAATGGTAGTTTATTTCATTTGTACACATGGCTTGGAGACAATTACCTGTTTCGTTAATTCCTAGACTAAGTGTACTTCGATTCAATTCGTTTATTTTTATCCCAGCAAATACATTAAAAATACATAGGTTAATACATGAAATGGATATATACACTGTACGAGTGTTAAAGATATGTCATATAGAACAGTACAAATTTATTGAAAGAACAGTAGGAAAAATGGAAATTAGGATGGCCATGAAAAACCCAATTTGGGATTTTACTTCACTCCTGGGCCAAACAATGTACCCAACCCAACTCTTTGGTTAACCCCAAGTGCCAACCTAACCCTCAATCTTTGATAAAGTCTGGAGCAAATATGACTGGAGCCTGTGTTGCTGGAGGAAATGTCTGGTTATCGAACCTCAATCCTGATAATTATCACAATCAAATGAGATGACGTGAAAGAGGATAATTACGAAAAGAATGAATAGATGATTCTGACCATCATAGATGATATGGTATGATAAACATGGAACAGGCGAGTGGGAGAGAAAGGGAGAGAGAGAGAAGTAGTTCTGAAAGAGAGTGAAGGAATTAACAATTTTGTATATTTGGTGAATGAGCTACATACAGGAAGCTACTAAGAGGGACAGGGAGAAAGGGGATGAAAGGAGATTGATGGAAACTAGTACGGTAGACTTAATGGCTTTCAAACGGACTGAAGAGGAAGTCAGACTGGAAGAAATACTTGTACATCATTATCAACATTTGTCCTTAAGCCCGTTAATCCAGCTTCAAACTAGTAATATTAGCATCACAAACATTACATTTTGTATCCATGTGTTTTACCTTCTTGTGTCATTTTATCATCCCCCCTCCATATCTATATATATCTCTCTCTCTCTCCCTCAACATGCATGCATTGTTATCCCTCTCTCTCTCTCTCTCTCTCTCTCTCTCTCTCTCTCTCTCTCTCTCTCTCTCGCTCTCAACATGCATACAATGTTACCCTCTCTCTCTCTCTCTATCATAAAGTGTCCTTTCTCATTCTTTCCAACCACAGATCTTTCCAGTCCTATACACTGCTTGTATTCTCAAAAATAAGAGATTGCTTTATGACGCTTCATCCTTTCATTCCCACACATACAATGTAGAAGAGAGAAAAAAACAGCATTCAAAAGAGGAACATTAATTTGCCTGTCCAGACAGTGACATAATTTACATTTTTTTAAAGTCCTATCCTATTGTCACCTGCAAGGTTGTGGCGAGACTTTGGTCTTGATTTCAAAGAATTCATTATTGTTGTGGTCTTGGGCTATACCAAGATGCAAATATTTAAAAAAAACGCCCTGTACAAAAATTCTTTACCATTATGAACAGATCAGTGATGAGTGGTTTCTGAGCATACAGGAAAAAGAAATGTGCTGTGATGCATATATATAGTAAAATCAATTTGTCTGAATTGTCATTAAAACATCAGAAGTTGATATCAATTTGTTTTGCCTCGTAAAGACAGCCTTGTATTGTGGGTATGCCCACAAAGACAATTTGGCTGCTGGTACCTTATTGACGAATCATATCATCGTTTTCAGGGTCCTATACCATTATAAAGACTATATCAAAAAGAAAACTGGCAACATTAGGCATGTAGTCATCAGCTCCAGATTGCCAAATATCCCACTATTTTAACTATCCCGATCGCAATTAAATCATCCAGTTAATAATTATGCGTCTTCATCAGCCCAAAGTTGCAATGAGCGAGATATTTGGTCGAAATAATCATCCATGATATCTTGGGCTAGTTTGCAAAATATCCCCCTATTTTTCCGGTGCGTCGTCACCAGCCCGAAGATTTACACTATGCGCGAACGCTGAGCAAAATATCTCGAGCTAATTTCTTGAGGTCGAGTTTCAAATTTCGAGGTCGAGTTTCAAATTTCGAGGTCGAGTCTCGAGCTAATGAGGATGCGATTTGTAACTTCGGCATTATTTCCCAAATCAGAAATAGCGGGCTCGAGCTGATGAAGACAGGCCTATTGAAAATTGTTTAAGACATTTACTCCTGTGATGACTACTCCAGACTTTATTATTTAAGATGTGGGGATAAGGATAGGACTGCATTTAGATTTTAGTTAAAGGTAATACAAAGTTTTGGGAAATTTTGAAAATTGGGTAGATAGTGATTCTTTACAATTTTGATATATTTGGATGCCCCTGTGGATGTATTATAAGCACTAGAAAAGCCCCTAAAACACTTCTGCTTTCGAGAAAAATTGAATATAAAAATTTACCGGTACTCCCGGTAAATTTTGATAAATTTCAAATAGTGCCTTTGGCCATACAATGGTAGCTGCGACCATGAAAATCTCAGAATATGTAGTTGAGAAATATAATTTCCAAACGGGAATAGCCAATCGGTCGATTTTAGTCAAGAAACATTGTTTTATAGCTTAATTAATATCTTGACCTTGAGAGGGAGCTATGCAACATAAAGACTTTATTATTTACAATTTCATAACTTTAGACCTGATTTCAACTGCGACAACGATCACTGAATATTGTAGGATCGCATATGCTTCCCATATGTTCATTTGAACGAAATTCATGACCCCATACCAAAACTTTGTATTACCTTTAAGGTTTCTGTTTAGAGTCACGTTTCTGTTTAGTGTCTCGTCCAGGGATAGTATTCTGTTGGTACAGGACATTGACTACAATTTGTGCGGGAGCATGTATCATACAACTGATTTACAGAATTAGGCAATACTAGCTTATGAAAACTGATAACCTTGACCTACTATGCATTTTGGAAAAGCATATTTTGATTCTTGAAAACAAATACGTTATTCAAAATATAGCATTCACCTTTATTTGAAATAGACAAGTAGAAATAATGTTTCAAATTAAAAAAAAACTCGCAAGGTGAAAAACTTTTATTAAAACAACAATGTTTACCAATAAAACATCATTCATATACAGAAAACAGTACTAAGAATACTATTAATAACAATTGAGGACGGATTTCAGAACAATGGAAGTAGAATTAATTTTACAAAAATGATTATTACTACATCCACCGCCGCATTCTCCCAAATCCATAAGTACCGTCCAATCGTATCTTGATCTGGCACATTATCCTCTTTAATAAATGATAAATATTATAGTGCATAGGACTGAACAGGTTTAAGGTATCTCCAATTTTCCATGGATATATATTTCCAGAAGATATATTCATAAGACCATTAATGAAAATTTGGTAAAGCTAGACACTCAACCTGCATTTTCACTGCCAGCATTTTTCTCACATTCCAGTGATTAACAACTACCAGCAAACACGATGAACGGCAGAGATATTTTACTTAATTTTTGCAGTTTAAATGCCTGATTTTTAAACATCAGTAAATCAAATCATTCTGGTTTTTGTTCACACAACTCCTCTCCTTTCTGTGCAATCGTATGCGGAGCAACAAAAAAGTCACTCATGCCCACTACTCACAAAAAAACAATGACGTTTTTTAATAGGTTTGTCCATTAGTGTATATGGTAGTGTAGATGGGCCTATAGTCGCTAGGTTCTCGATAGGAATTTAACAGCATTTTACTAGTGACCTGATAACAGTTATTATCAATAATTGAGAGTGAACTCCACATTTAAGACTGACAAGCCTGCATGATGTAATGCATGTACCCTCCATCAACTTCAAAAGAACTACTGTAAAAGTAGAATTTTTTGCGGATTTTGCACTAAGATCGGCAAGTGCAAATTTTAGAACTCGCAAAAATGTAAGCATGCTTTCTTATGCGTGCACCAATAGAAATGAAAACAGTGGAGTGAAGTGTGCAACGCGAATTTAAGAATCCGCGAATATGTTTTGGGGTCGCTCAGCGCAAGGAATTAATAACCGCGTTTACAGTACCCTGTATACAAAATAATCATAACATCAACATCCGAACAATGACCAACATTTTCCAGACTCTTGCAGTAAGTTCCAGATGGGACACGAGTTTCACTGCATGTGAGATTTGAACACATTGTAATTGGTAATTCCACCAAGTCTGGTGTATGCGGACTATGATACAACGCACTTGGAAAATGTCATCTTGAACAGTCGCTTTCATCATTTCATGTATGTTAATCCATAGTGGAAATATTTTTTATCAAATTTTTGATCAGTAAAACTGTCCAGCTTTAAGGAACATATCCATGACTCTCAGAATTAAATCCACTACATTGCTCAGAGTGTACTTGGAATGTCAAGCGTCACAAAATAACATCATTTTTCTGAAAGCTTGTATAGTTCTTTTAACTTTACAATATCCTCTAAAAAAAACTGAGCACAACTCTCCTGAGCTATCCCTTCAGTTCCTTCCTCTTGTTCACCCTCTTCTCTTTTATCACCTTCTAACCTCTCCTTCTTACAATCCTCTGTTTTTGTTCCTTCTTCATTCTCCTCTGCTGCCACACTATCTTCTTCAGTCCTATCAACAGCTTGTCTCCATTGTTCTAACTTCCCCATCAACTCCGACAAAGCTTGCTTCTCAGATTTATTCAGAAAATCTAAGGAGAGACCGAACCTTCCGGCTCGTGTCAGACACACCAAAATGTCCGCTATCTTCCCACAATGCTTCTCTTCTGCATGGTCGTTCAGTGTTGTGATAATCTCGCCCAGCAGACCAAAACTTATCTCTGCTCGAAATATTTTGGCTAGTGTGTCTCCGCCTAGGTCCAACATGTAGGAATAGCAACTTCCTGAAGTTTTTTTCCGGTTCCGCCATTCCTTTGTGAATTCATGCCCATTCTTTGGGATCTTCACCTGTAAATATAAGGATGAAGTAAATGGCATTAAACTCTCCTGCTTGGCCATCAAGAAAAATCACCCTTAAGAATTGTTTCCCACAGTACTGTTGTCCCAGAAAAAAAATATTTAGATGCCAGAGAGGCGGTGAAGAAGTCACTACCAGAGTGCTTTTCAGCTGTGTTTTTAGCTTAGTGCCTCCTTACCTTTTGATAAAAAATGGAGGTGTGGAATAGCAGTCTCAGAGACCAAGACAAAAATATCATAGCTCATGGTTTGCAAAATCCTAATGCAAATAAAAAAAAATTGAGTGTATTTCGTCATATAAAAATGGAAATAATCCCCAGTTTATGAACTACAGTCATCATCTGATGAATAGCTACCCGGGGAGGGGGAGGGGGGGGGGGGGGGTAAGGGGAGGGGGGGTAAGGGGTCACAATCCTAGATGTTGGGGCAGGGCTCCATACTAACTGTTTTGGAAGAGGGCCCAGAATATTAAAGCCCCACTACACTACTTACATGTACTGTATAGCTACTTGTGCCCTCTATATAGCAAACAATGCCTAATCTAATCACTTTTTCTTATGTTAATTGAGAGCCAATTTGATGAGATAACCACTTGTCAGTGACCATGCAGGCCATTGCAGGGAGGTCTAATCTCTCGTGGCCAAACTAGTGCAGATATGCTTTTAAAAAATGTCTGTATGCATGAGCATTATTTTAAAAATTTGAAATTAGGCGGCCCAGACTTTTGATACATGAAGTATTTTGGGTCCAGGGTGCCTGCTATTGTTGAGCACTTGAGCCCTAGCTGGTCAAGGTGTCCTATGAATGATGGGGGGATTGTTGTCCTACCTTGGTAATACTTGACTGCACCTGATCTCCTGTTTCCTGAGGGGATGTCGATGATGATGTTGTTGAGTTGGATGATGAGAAAGGATTCCAAGGTTGATGACGTTTGCTTTGACTGATCTTATCCTTCTTCTCTAGAGGCTTGATGTGAGCTGCTGCCACCAAATCCCTGCAACCAAATAATTCAAAAATTAAGAATTCTTAAAATAAAAAAAATTAATGTTATCCATTCATGGATTCAAACTTACGGTAATTCTATGGAAAGAAATATATGAACATTTTTGAAGAAAAAAGAAACTACATGGCCTGAAATATGCTAAGGCATTTCGTTGTTATGCTTGCATGGTGTCCAAATTTGCAATGTCTTAATAATATTAGTATTATTATTTTTTATTATTATTATTATTTTTATTATTATTATTACTAATATTATTATTATTATAATTCATATAATAACTATTATCATTATAATCATGATTATTATTGGTACTATTATCATCATGATCATCATCATCATCACTATCATTATTATTAATTCATTTGTTTTACCTACTTTTTGATGCTTTATTATGCATACTAATTGACTATTACTGGATACTGGGCAATGACTATACAAAAGCCCAACCAAGATCTGAAGTCACTGCTGACCAAGTTGCCCATCAACTCCTATTGAATGGTCGGGGAAACCCTGACCATCACCCCAGAAGAGCCAGACTCCCTAAGGTCCCAGACGCTACAAGCTCTCAAGATGACCCAGGCTTCACTAGACCGTTCACCATGAACGACCTGCTTGCTGCCATCAAAGCAATGAAAAACAACAAAGCTGCTGGACTTGATGACATCCTCTGCGAGCAGATCAAACAGCTTAGACCAGGCGCCCTCAACTGGCTTCTCAAAATGTTCAACGAATGTTTGGGCACCAACAACATCCCAAAGCTCTGGAGGAAATCCAAAGTTATTGCCCTGTTGAAGCCTGGTAATGACGCAGCCAGTCCAAAGAGCTACAGGCCTATCTCCCTACCGTGCCATACATATAAGCTGTTCGAGCGGCTTATCCTCAACCGCATCGCCCCATTCGTGGATAAACATCTCATTCCGGAACAAGCAGGGTTTAGGCCAAGAAAATCATGAACTGGCCAACTCCTAAACCTCACTCAGTTCATTGAGGACGAGTATGAGAGTAAGCTAATCACCGGAGCTGCTTTTGTTGATCTCTCTGCTGCCAATGACACCGTGGACCACAGAATCCTTACCAGGAAGATCTTTGAGCTGACAAAGGACGTGAGACTGACTGGACTCATCCAGACGTTGCTGTGCAATCGGCGATATTTTGTGGTTCTCAATGGGAATCGCAGCAGATGGCGCAGACAGAAAAATGGCCTACCACAAGGAAGTGTGCTCGCACCGTTACTCTTTAACGTGTACACGAATGACCAACCGATCCACCCAAACACCAGGAGCTTCCTCTACGCCGATGATCTCTGCATCGCCACCCAGAACCAGTCTTTTGTGAAGTTGGAGGAGTCCCTCAGTGATGCCCTGGCCGGTCTCATCCCATACTATGCGACCAACCACCTGAGAGCTAACCCTGATAAAACTCAGATAAGCGCATTCCACCTCAAGAACAGGGATGCCAACCATCAACTAAGGATCAGCTGGTATGGGAAAAGGCTGAAGCACACTCCCAACCCAGTCTACTTAGGCGTCACACTCGATCGCTCCCTTACCTACAAGAACCACATTGCCAACACAAAGGCAAAAGTTGGAGCCCGCAACAGCATCCTCAAGAAGCTAGCCAACACCAACTGGGGGACTGATGCCAGAACAATCCGGACGACAGCCCTCTCCCTTTGCTTCTCTGCTGCGGAGTATGCATCACCAGTATGGAGTAGGTCGGCCCATGCACCCAAGATTGACCCAGCTCTAAATTCATCTTGCAGAGCGATCACTGGATGCCCTAGGCCAACTAGAGTAGAAGATATCTACCTGCTCTGCGGTATTGCCCCTCCACACGTCAGAAGGTTGGTCTTGTCCCAGAAAGAAAAGGACAAACAAGAAAACAATCCACTCCACCCACTCTTCGAACAACAGCCAGTGGGCAAGCGGCTCAAATCCAGACACAGCTTTCTGCACTCTGTAGAGCCTCTTAATACTAGCCCTCACAACCAAAGGATGACTTTGTGGTCTAACCACCTTGAGACCACTCCACATAAACTCTCCCTCAGCCCGAAGGAATCCCTCGCAACCGGCTCCAGTGAGACTTGGCCTACCTGGCTTAGCCTCAACCGCCTAAGAACTGGCTAAGGTCGATGCAGAGTCCTAATGCAGAGGTGGGGTCTAGGAGACGAACAAACGGCATGTGAATGCGGCCAGGAACAGACAATGGAACACCTGCTAGTCTGCCCACTCCTGCCAGAGCCATGCACCCAAGATGACCTGGAAGCCGTGAATTGCCGTGCCAAAGCCTGTGTGGACCCCAGGACGGGACTTGTGTAGTGACTCGATAAGAAGAAGAAGATTGACTATTAAGCCTCCAGGGGGGTGTTTCACAAAGATTTTAAGTCAAACTTAACTCTAAATTGGACTTAAAAATTATGGAGAGCCATTTGTAGCCTTATATTCAAAAGCAGAAATTCAAGTATTTTAGACTTTTTATTAATTCTACATCAAGAACATAAAATCTCCTTGATAATAGAAAATATGAATGATTTGAATCAACATTTTATGCCTTTAAAAATGAATTGCACAAAATATTTTCATGGATGCTAGCAGCTTTCCATAATTGTTAAGTTCAACTTAGAGATAAGTTCGACTTAGGATCTTTATGAAACACCCCCCAGGACATGGATTATGAGTTACATGTACAAGTTAAGTTCAATTTTTAAAAAATTCTCCATATACAGACTGCAAAATATTTATATAACAAAGGTTTTGTCATTTCATAGTCTATGCCTCTATAGCTAAAAGATAATCTAACAATAACATTTATCTTCTAATTTCATGTTATGAAATTCGATACCAGCATTGGGAAGAGTTTTTTTTCACATTTGTGCAACAGTTTTTCTTTCTAATCTTGATGAGATACCGGTATGCATAAATCATTGCAGAATTAGATCCAGATATCGAACATACATACATATATACATGTTCCAAACTTTTTTTGTGAGAAGAAAAAAATGTGATAGTTCAGAAAATAAAATGAATTTATGTACTATTCCTTGAGAAAAAAAAAAACTGAATTATGTGACAGAGAATGACTTGATTTAGTTGATTATGCAAGAAAAAATATCACATACTGATACCATCTGTTTCTGCAGGTTGTTCAATTGGACTCACCTGAATTGGTCGTAAGTCTCCACACGTTGTTCCATGGCCCTTATCTTAGCACCGTTCACTCTCCAGTAAGAAGCATCTGCATCTATGGCTGCAGTCAACTCCTTCTCAAGCTTAGTAAAATCTATCCTGTCTTCCTTGAGATGAGCCATACTCTGGAATCAAGACAATTGTTATTCATTAATTTATCTTTTAACCTTATGTAATATGTCTATCTATAGTAGGCCTATACTTACGCATGAGCATTGACCACTATGACTCTATGCTCTGTTGGAGTGACCTACATCATTACATGTGGTAGGCACTTTCGAGGCGACTTTGAGGTTAGCCGAAGTCACAATTTTTATGGCTTGCAAAGAGTCTAGCTAAGGCACATGATAACCATAAAGGTTAGTGATAGGGTTATAATCATCATGCAAACCCACCTTTCATCAACCCATCGTAAGCTCAATCGGTACAGATAACGTAATAGAACACTGTAGTAGTTGTGGGTTTGAATCTCAGTATTTATTTAGTTTTGTACAACTCACTTCTAGATCCTTATTAACTGATTGGTCATAAGAGGTCACGTGTTATTGAATTACTGAGACTATCTCACATCTTTCATGAAAAAGCATGCAATAGTTTCCACTTTCCAGTACTATCCAATGATTTTTCAGTGCGCAGCCCAAGTATGAGGCAAGCACATAGAGATCCTATACACGTGGGTGCAGGCGGGCTCTGTTAAGAACCAGTAACCAGGACGACAAGCTTATTTGTCAGCCATACTGTAACGGAACAATCTTGAATGAATTATTTTTATATGAAATAACAAGGATCTAAGAGTTTTGTAGTATAAAACAAATGATGCATGTTTTCATTTGTTCATTATATACGACACAAAGAACTTTAGCTTACATTTAACTCATGCGCAGAGTGCTCATAATGCCTTCCACCTAATCCCCTTCTTTTTGCCTTTCCATTTAATACTTTTTAAACTACCGGTCCGGTACTTCACAATGGATGAGAGCAAGAATATGAACAGACAAGAAACAAGTCAGACTCAAAGGTAAGGACAAGAATCAGTGCTTATCAATATAACAGAAATTTTGCATGAAAAACCATCAGGAAAGCCATCTAAATATGTCACAAATTAGCGACTAACACACCAAATTCAGCGCTGCAATGACGCACAAACAGTGTAGAATTCAACTTTTCATCCACCAAATGAATTAAATCAAACACTTGCATTAGGCCTAGATGATAGATCTATACAACCTTCAATACCTGTAGATCTAGATCTATCACTATCACCTTTAATTTATCGCAAAAAATATCTACGGCTAATATATGAAGACTAACAATATGGTAGGGTATTCTGCAATTAGGTCTAAGCCAAGTTGACAATTCAAATTTTGGTGGATCTATGTTTTACAAATCCCGGACACTCAATCCATCCGTCAATCCATCCATCCATCCGAAATCCCTAACCAGGCTAACATTATCACTGATACAGTTATCACGTACTAGTATAGGCCTAAGTTAGACCCCTAAAAGACAGTTATTTCTCACCCTGTGAGTCTGTCTAACTTGTTAGTTACATGGAAATGGCATTATCGGTACTTACTCTTTCGATTAACTGCTCCCTTTTGATTGATAAGCTGATTGCCAGACAGCAAAAGACGATAAAAACAACAACTACGTTAACCAATCGACCTCTATGCCGGTTTTAGTAAAGTTGTTTGTATATGGCAACGGGCTGGACCGCGCATGCGTAATGACCTAGCTAGCGCTATAGTACGCCTGTCATAAATAGGGGAAATCCCGTTTTCAGATGTCCATTTTTTTTCTTGAAATAGATCAGAGACTAGACAGAGGGTATTTCCACGCTGAGCTGATAATTTTGTACGGTGTTTATCGTAATAACTCGCACTTACTTCTTCTTCTTCTTCTGGTGCAATTAGTACAATCCTCTGGGTAGAGTATTTTCGGGCTTTAATTAGAGTCTACCCCCAGATTTTGAAAGGATTGGATCAAACTGCACAACACAGTCATCATAGTGCACAGTTAGAATGGCAGATTAATTACAACAGACTACACTAGTCTACAGTGGCAATTATTTGTTCAGGCTTCTGCATTGACGTTTTAATGCAAGTCTCTCTGTCGTATCGAGTCTTGAGAAGAGGATATGGGAACATGTCATTTTTGGTGATTCTACTGTAAGTCCATTGCAACTTGTGACACAGGACCAACAAGGATTCAAAGAACACGCGAAGAGCTAGAGGAACATATCCTGACTTCCTGTATACTCTGCTGAGCCTGAGACTAGCCATGTAGATTGTACTGTAGAGTACATTGCATTGTAACTTGTAAGTGGATTTTAATTTTTGATTATAGCCTTCATGCATGTTTAAAGACTTATAATACGGGGAAGTCAGGGGAAGTCCACAACTGTAAAACTGCAGAAAGTTAAAGAAATCCGATAAATGATAAGACAATTATTAAGTTTCAAGTGATGACCAATCAATCACTGATATTATTAGCGATAAACAACTCGGTGGTTGATTTCCTGCTCTGTACTAGTACTACTGTAGATTTCTAGTATAGTCACCTGGTAACCCTCCATTTATATTGCCAAGATGTTTTTTTGTCCAGAAAGGTTGTGTAGCCGAACAGTCGATTTTAATTTGAAGAAGTTTATGCAATATTTTAGAAATTATTTAAGTTGTGTGTTTGTGTGTGTGTAATTGGGTTTTTACAGACGTGTTTCAATCAAATATGATTATTTACGTCTGGGGACTGACCTTTAACGTCACCATCCGAAAGACGTTTAAGTCTTATATTAGCCATTATTATAAAGGACAAAAGTCAATATTTATTATGGTTAGTGCTATTTGATGCATACTTTTCATAAGTCCAAAGGCAATTAGTGAAGACTTTATTTTTGATAGATGTCTGGACACCCCTCTCCCCCATCATAAATAATATCTGATTGATACAAGTCTGTAAAAACCCAATTACACAGATAAATCACGGAGTTGCCATTGCATTTGATCGAAACTATAAAACTTCAATTACTTTCTTATCTACAAATACAATGTATACACCATAGTAATGAAATTGATTATCCTGGAACTTTTTTTCATTGATGCAAACCCTTTTAAATACTAACCGGTATATATTAAATGAATTCACATCACCTTATAGATCTAAGTACATCACCTTTTTGCAAAAAATCATTTAAAAAATGACACCCTTGCAAAGTAGTCAATGTATTCACATTACAATTCATAAAGAAAAATGTCTTCGTTTCTGAGGAAACATGTACCTTTTCTTTTACCTCCAACTTCGAAGGTCTATGCTGACATTGACAAGGAAGGAAACCAACGTGACATTAATAAATAGCATCCAATAACTGGATTCCTGACCCAACTATGGCGTTTCGAACAAGTTACAGTGACGGTGCACTGAGTGCGGATGTTCAACGCGATGCAAACCCTGGTGCCAACTCTCTTAAATACCGCACTCTACTAAAAGAAATCGACAATGGATTAGGAGTGAGAGATATGGAGAAGCTGAAGTACCTGTGCCAAGACTTGGGGGTTGCCCCACGAAAATTTGAGACTATGACCCGCGGCATCTACCTGTTTACAGAGCTAGAAAAGCTGGCTCTGATCACAGCAGACGACATTTCGATGCTGGTCGTTCTGATGCAGGCAATCAATCGCTATGACCTGGTGAAGAAACTCAAATCATGGAGCAGCAAAGAAGGGAATTTGGCCCACAGGTTGAGTGCATATAGGTGAGTAAGTCAGTTTGATTGGAGAGAGGGTAAAATATACAATTTACTTCATTTGTTAGGCCTAGAAATGTTTTGATAAATGACATATGTTATGTTACACTTTTTGGCGTTTATAGATTCTACCGAAAGTTTAAGGCTATTGAAGTGCAATTCTTGCAATTTTGAAATACGCAAAGAAAAATGACTCTAGAATTCTTACTTTTATTGTGATATTCTATTTTGGTCGATTACTCTGGAGTCTGGACCCCACAAACTTCAAATTTTAACAGGGCACCTATTCTTACAGACCTTAAAATTGTTGATATAAACCCCTTTCAATAAAGTTAGTATGGAGACTTGTCTTATTAGATGTTCAGAACATTTATACATTTTGCATCTCATTTAGGATGGAAACATTGATTTTTGTTAGTAATTAACACATTTTGATAATTTCTTGCATTATCCACATTCAACCTATAACTATCACTTCCAGTGTAAGTTCATCCAGGCGCGGATCCAGGGGGGGGGCCGAGCGGGCCTTGGCCCCCCCCCCCCTCCCCGCAAAAAAAAAAAAAAGAGAGAAGAAAGGAAAAGAAGGGAAAGAGAAAGAAGAGAGAAAGGGAAAGAAAGAAGAGGAAGAAGAAAAGAAAAGGGGGAAGAAGGAGATCGGGGGGAGGCGAAAGGGCCTTGCCTCCCAGGCTGTTGACCCCCCCCCCCCCCAATAAAAAAAATAAGAGAGAAGGAAGGAAAGGGATATAAAAAAAGGAAAAGAGGAGATACTGGCGTACTGAAAGGGGGGGGGGGCTTGGGGGAAATCAAATTCAAACGTGGTTTATTTCTAATTCCACAACGGTGGATTACAAATAATGCAGAAATGACATAATTTCCGAGATTTTTCCTCACTTTTTGAATGAATGAATTCAGACAAGGATTAAGAATCGAGAACGGTACAACGAATCGCCTTCTTTCTCTCATAATCTTATGAAACGTCAAAGCTTCCGCGCTTCGCGCGGGAGGGGGGAACCTGAATTCAGACGAGGATTCAGAGGCGAGAACGGTAATACGAATCTTTAATGATTTAATGGAACGTAAAAGCTTCCGAGCTTTGCGCGGGATGGAGGGGGAACTAAATTCCGATGAGGATTATTTTCGAGAACGGTACAACGAATCGTCTTCTTTCTCTAATGATTTAATGAAAATTAAAAGCTTCCGCGCTTCGCGCTAAAGGGGGAAACCTGAATCCAGACGAGGATTAAGAGTCGAGAACTGTACAGCCAATCGTCTTCTTTCTCTCATAATCTTGTGAAATTTAAAAGCTTCCGCGCTTCGCGCGCAATGGAGGGGGAACTAAATTCCGATGAGGATTATTTTCGAGAACGGTACAACGAATCGTCTTTTTTCTCTAATTATTTAATGAAACTTAAAAGCTTCCGCGCTTCGCGCAGGAGAGGTGGTGGAGAATCTAAATTCAGATGAGGATTATTTTCGAAAACGGTACAACGAATCGTCTTCTTTCTCTAATGATTTAAGGAAATTTAAAAGCTTCCGCGCTTCGCACGGGAGGGGGGAGCCTAAATTCAGACGAGGTTTAAGGGTCGAGAACTCGACAACGAATCGTCTTCTTTCTCTCATAATCTTGTGAAACTTAAAATTTTCCGCGCTTCGCGCGGGAGGGGGAAAACTAAATTCCGATGAGGATTATTTTCAAGACCGGTACAACGAATCGTCTTCTTTCTCTAATGATTTAATGAAAATTAAAAGCTTCCGCGCTTCGCGCGAAGGGGGGGAACCTGAATCCAGACGAGGATTAAGAGTCGAGAACTGGACAGCCAATCGCTTCTTTCTCTCATAAACTTGTGAAACTTAAAAGCTTCCGCGCTTTGCGCGGATGGGGAGGGGGAGACTGAATTTAGACAAGGATTAAGAGTCGAGAACGGTACAACGAATCGTCTTCTTTCTCTAATGATTTAAGGAAATTTAAAAGCTTCCGCGCTTCGCACGGGAGGGGGGAACCTAAATTCAGACGAGGATTAAGGGTCGAGAACTCGACAACGAATCGTCTTCTTTCTCTCATAATCTTGTGAAACTTAAAATTTTCCGCGCTTCGCGCGGGAGGGGGAAAACTAAATTCCGATGAGGATTATTTTCAAGAACGGTACAACGAATCGTCTTCTTTCTCTAATGATTTAATGAAAATTAAAAGCTTCCGCGCTTCGCGCGAGAGGGGGGAACCTGAATCCAGACGAGGATTAAGAGTCGAGAACTGGACAGCCAATCGTCTTCTTTCTCTCATAAACTTGTGAAACTTAAAAGCTTCCGCGCTTTGCGCGGATGGGGAGGGGGAGACTGAATTTAGACAAGGATTAAGAGTCGAGAACGGTACAACGAATCGTCTTCTTTCTCTAATGATTTAATGAATCGTAAAAGCTTCCGCGCTTCGCACGGGAGGAGGGGGGTGGGGGAGAATCTAAATTCAGACGAGGATTATTTTCGAAAACATGTACAACGAATCGTCTTCTTTCTCTAATGATTTAAGGAAATTTAAAAGCTTCCGCGCTTTGCACGGGAGGGGGAGAACCTAAATTCAGACGAGGATTAAGAGTCGAGAACTCGGCAACGAATCATCTTCTTTCTCTAATAATTTAATAAATCTTAAAATTTTCCGCGCTTCGCGCGGGAGGGGAAAAACTAAATTCAGACGAGAATTATTTTCGAGAACGGTACAACGAATCGTCTTTTTTCTCTAATAATTTAATGAAACGTCAAAGCTTCCGCGTTTCGCGGAGGAGGGAGGGGGAAAATCGCCCCTCCCTGCACCGACCCCCCCCCCCGCATTACGTCACTGTTTGTCACCATTACGTACCAATATTTGGCTCGCAAAATTTCAAATTTGGCCCCCCCCCCTAAGAAATCCTGGATCCGCGCCTGAGTTCATCATGTGCTTACCATATCCAGCTTTTCATATTTATCATGCTGATTGTTGGCTAAAAAGAATTTCAATGAAAACTGACTTGTCATATTCGTTCGTTCGTGTCTCCTTAGATCAGGATTAATTGATCTTCGGAGTGGTTGCTACTTGTTATATTAATCAATGTAGGCTACACTTTTATACAATATTTCATCCGTTGGAGGGGTTTGGGCATTAAATTGCTCTACTCTTAAATCAAGGAGGAAAGTAACCACACTCTGTTTTGGTTTTGCAGGAGACTGATGTTACGAATATCTGACTGTCTGAGTCGAGACGAGAGGGACCAGTTTACTTTTTATCTCAGTGGTGGAGACTCTCCTCTTCCTGTTGCAGCCATCGAGGAATGCAAGTCACTCTTACAGGTGACTTAGAAAGAACATCTTATTGTAAAATAATTCACTGACCAAGTGACCAGTGATATTTATGGTTCTTCTATTTGATATAGGCTGCTAACTAAATCTGTCCAAAATTGTCATCCAAAATCAAGGGTACTAGTAATGATGTAATTACAATCTTTTAAGAGCTTAATATTTAAAAAAATTACTTCAGTTTCAGTAAACTTAATCACAAGCACAGCAAACAAAATTAAGAAGAACAGATTTTTAATGGTGACCATTTCTGAAAAATCCTCTTGTCAAACCTGATATAGAAACTACATCAAGAGCAGAGCCATTTTTAATTTTATCTTACATGCGTATAGGCTATTTTTGTTCCCTTTTTTAAGAATCTTTAAGAAAAGCCACCCGTGGTGACTGTGTGGTTACTAAGTTTCGAGGAATTGATATTTTAATTAATTACCCCTCAAAAGTAGGTTGTGTTATGTAGCCAGCATGGCTTTATGTATGACTTAATCACCTGACTTTATTCAGTTGCATGTGACATTCAATTGATTTGTATGAAATAAGTTGAGGTCCAATCTGGGAGTCTGGGTAATGTAATATTTTAAAACTATACTTTTTACGCCTCCCCTACAAAGTAGCCGGAGGCATTATGTTTTTGGGTCCGATGTAAAGTTACATACAAATCAGAAGAAAAACAATTTGTGATAGAGAAATATTGAGCAAGGACGCTGTCCGTACGTCTGTACAGGTACGTCCCTTCTCGTGATCGCGTTATCTCAAGAACCGAAAGATGGATTCCCCCCAAACTTAGGTCATGCATGTATCTTGCAGAGCTAATGAACTGAGTAGATTTTGGGGTCATGAGTTGAAAGGTCACAGGGCTCATTATGTATGCAAAAATAGTTTGTGATCACATTATCTCAAGAACCAATTGATGGATTACCACCAAATTTGGGTAATGTATGTATCTTGCAGAGCCAATGAACCGATTAGATTTTAGTGTCATGAAGTCAAAGATCAAAGGGTCATACATGTATATGAAAAATATCTTGTAATCAAGATATTCTGAGAACCTGTTCTGGGAGTGGTCTTGTCGAGCATTTTAAGGCGCTTGACTGGAGATACAAAGGTCGAGGGTTCGAATCCCGACAGCACTAATATCCTTTGGCAAGATATTTACCTGCACTTGCTACTCTCCACCCAGGTGTTAGATGGTTACCTGGTAGGATGCCACATTGTTGGTCAAATAGTTTTTGAGAGTCAAGTAACATGGCCTGGCTGGAATACTCCCCAGGGAGTGGAGATTGTGCACACAGTGTGTGCAAGCAAGTATTGAATTCAATGACCAGATTAATAGTATATTTGTAAAGCGCTTAGAGACATCGTAGATGTATTAAGCTATATAAAATGGAATATTATTACAACCAAACTTGAATTTTAAAAATTGCTTCTGTTTTGGTTTGTTAAATCGCTCTATGGCAGAGGCATCATTTCAACTGCTCGCAGTTGAAAATCCATCTAGTTTGTTTCAAAGTTGGGGAGGGGGTCAAGAATTTTTTTGTCTTTTTGTTTTTCTATATGAACATAGCAGTATTTTCTCTCCTCTGTAGCTCTTTGTCCTGATGGAGAAGTACACATTGATAGGCCCAGGAGATCTGGAATACTTCACCAATATCATGCAATCCATCGGGAATATAGCCATTGTCAAAGAAATAGAGAAATACCTAGGTAAGAAGCTTCATTGTGAATTAATGATAAAAGCAATCAATGAAATAATCTATGATGGTCAATACACTTTATTATCAGTCTCTCAAAGACTGCACGTCATTTCAATAATAAAAATGTTTTTAAAAAACTCTTATTTGATGTCATAATATTGTATTCATTTCATATAACATGTAGGCCATATGCTAATTTGATTCATGTGAGCACTTGGGTTTTGTAAGTTGATGTTTTGTTTTCCATCAGTTTTGAACAACTTTCATTATTAGTCAGTGTCGTTATACATTTTACCTTAGATATATTTTCAAGTTGCATACTATTCTTTTTTTTAAATCAGCCATTGAAAGGTCAATACATCACGTACATCACGTACATCACGCACAACCCTCTTCCAGCCAAAGTAAACAGTTCCACCAAGGTGGTGGAGTGGCATACAACACTGGCAACCAGAGCAACATGAGAAGCAACTCTGCACCAACATTTGAAGGATACACTCAAAACCCACCATGGGATGGTCAAGATTATCAAGGGAAACCACCTCCACAACAACAGCAACCCTACAATTATCCTCCACAACAATACCAGCAACCACAGCAACAGGCAACACCATCATACAGTCAGCAGAACCCACAGCAGTGGCAGCATGGACAGCAACCAGTAATAAAGAAGGAACCTGAGGACAGAACAAGCAGTGCAACCTCCGGTTTGACTGTTGGACCTGAGAGGCCAAAGTGGTACTATGAGGCTGTTAAAAAAACTGGTTAGTCACTTTGGCTTGTAGTTGTAGCAACTTTAGAATTGTGATTTACAATTATATTTTCAATCAAACACCTGTGAATGACATCCTCAAGACTTTTCATGGAGAATGTTGGAGTCCTTAAAAAGTAAGGTAATTTGCATTGCTTCTCTCTTTCCAGGCGTGTAATGGGTACTGACCAGGATGTAAGCTATATTATTATTGATATGTGTGTTTTCTAGCGATTGGTTGGAATATTTCCCAATGGAGAGTGCATGTACACTGTAAATGCAGAAATTCAGTTGAATCAAACATTTAGGTTAAGGAAAGAGAATTATAAAGCTATTTAAGCAGTTCCTTGTCATTGGTGAAGAGCTATACAAATGCTAGATATTGTTGTAAATTGTAATCATTATTATTGTTAATATTGTGATTATTGGTGTGATTATCTATTATGATTATTGACAATATGTACAAAATTGGATAGCCTTAGCGTTCAGAGTCTCTCTGTACTCAACTATTGGATTTAAAATCACAAAATCTTGATTATAGGAAAGGCTAGTTACATATTATTGCAAAGAACCCTACATGGAGCTGAAGGGAGAAAGGGACGATGTGGTGTACCTTTACATATCTATGCATTACTCGGATGAAGTTTTATTTTATTGTTGTTTTTTTTAATTTTTATTTTTTTTAAATTTTTAATTCATTTATTTATTATTATTATTATTATTATTTTTTTTAAATTTATTTATTTATTTATTTGTTTATTATTATTATTTTTTTATTTTTTTTTTTTATTTATTTATTTATTTTTTTTTTTTTTGGGGGGGGGGGGGGGTAAGACACTCTGCAGTCAAAAATGGGTATGGGGGGGGGGTTGGGTGGAGCGGGTGCCTGATCAGGGTTCTAGATACCTTTCATGTCTGCGTTGATATGTTTGAAAAAAAGATGTAGCTATCATTTTTTACATGACCTCTCTTTCGATCCAATTAGGTGTTGTCTATGCCGATAAGTTATGGGAGAATGTGGTGCAGGGGATGAAAGTAAATGAAGTAAGGAAGAAAATGCAGGAGATGAAGATTGCTGAGCAGAGGAGGGCGGCGGAGAGCATGCCCTCTGTCAAGACGGAACCGGGTGATGATGAAAGGGTAGCATCGGTCACAAGGGACCTTCGCTTGGGACCGATAGAGGATACAACAAGATCCCCAGGTACAATACTTTATTTTCCCCATGTTTCATGTTGTTCCCTGGTATCATAGACAAACATAATTCACTTATGTTTCAAATATTGAAGTATACAAGAGAAACTTACAGGGGAACTACAATTCAGAGCATTCGTAGAAAGATATCCTTGTAATTTTGAGATGAATTTAACAAAATATTTAAAAAAATTGAACTATAGAAAGCAGAGGAGGAGTTAACTGCTGTGAATGGAAACCTCTCATTTTCACTTTTGTCTCTAATACAGACACCATACCTGCCAACCCTTACGAATAATCCAAAATATTCTGTTTTTCTGGATTTCTAAGACCTGAAAACCCGGAATATTTCAATTTTTAATTTTAAATTTTTTTTTTTGGTGCTTAAGCCAAATTACAGTTAAGCTTGTTTTATTATCTGCGCGATTTGAGAGTTCACGTATTGCGTGCGTTGAATGGCTGCATGATCGAGCAGCGAATTTGTATTTGCTTTTTGGTACAGATTTACCGCGTATTGCCAGTTACACTGCCACTGCAAGTGCGATTTCTTATTTTCGAAGGCATACCGTGCTAAAAATTCCTAATTCTTATTTTGAAATGTTGGCAGGTATGAGATACATGAATTAACTCACCATTTTTTGTGGACTTAGTACTGATGTAAATTTGCAGGATTTGCAGGATTATCTAATGTTTATTATCGTTCCATACATGCCAGCTGTACTGAGAAATATGATGGATATCTTCTTTCTCAATTTTCTTTATAGATGAGACATATTTTACGAGAGGACAAAAAACCAAAAAAAAAAAAATAATAATAATAATAATACAGAAATAAATAAAACATAAAAAAATAATGATAATAATTCAACTAGATATCTAGTCCATAATAAAAATGTATGGAGGAAAAATGGGGAAATGGAGAGTTCCCATGGATATGATTAGTGATCTTAACTTTCAAAATTGATAACCTTTTAATAGTCCTTGCTCAATATTTCTCTATCACTAATTTGTTTTTCTGATTTGTATGTAACTTTACATCAGAGCAAAGCAGCACACTCACTAACGAGGGACATAGGATAGTAGCTGCTCAAACTGCTACTGTTAGACCACATCCAAATACAGGTAATTAACTCATTTCATAAAGTCTTGTCAGAGAAAAATGGAACACTATAAGATGAAGCTTGGATCTCCATTGTACATGTATTTTTATTTTGCCACTTTGATATGCATTGAAATGATTGAATTTTAACATCACAGACATTTTGTTTCTACCCCATTATACTGTGATGGAATATTTCAATTATTCATACTCAATCTTCAAAGTACTAGCACTTTCTACTTAGTACTTTAGTGTGTATGTATGTTATATTTTGAGGTCATGAAAGTTCTTCCATATTAATTTCACTTTCATGACGAAAACTCGTTGTTTAAAATTGAAACCCCCTTTTGACTTTCACCACTACTTGTACTAGAGCTGAGATTGTGATAAGCCCTAAGTAAACACTAGCGCTGTAATCCACCCCCACTGAGACCTTGATGAGATGATAGAGAGAGAGAGATATAAGCATGATATACTGTTTTCACACTGGCAATATTTTGCTTAACCCCGATCTATAGGTGGGGTTAAGGGGGGGTCTTAGCCCCACCTATAGTACGGGGTTAAGCCTATTCCACTTTCTGTTCAGACTGGCTTTTACCAAAGTGGGCTAAAGTTGGCTAACCCCACCTATAGTACGGGGTTAACTAACCCTGCAAAATAGCAGGGCTAACTCCGCAATTGTGGTGCTAACACCTGCTAACCTTGCGGTGCCAAGCAAATGAATGAGAACAGAAACGAAAAAATAGTCCGGTACTACGCAATGGAGCGTATCACAGCTGGCCAGATGCGAAGTATGTCCAATCATAACATTCACGATATCCGGGGTTAAAGAATTGCAGTGAGAACAGCGTGACTTTTCTTATTCCGGAATAGGCGCTAGTACAGCACTAAAAACAGCGTGTGTGAAAAGCCAAAAAAATAGTCCGGGGTTAAGGATAGTACGGGGCTAAGCAAAGTACGGGGTTGAGCAAAACCAGTGTGAAAAGAGTAATAGAGGGGGAAGGGAAGGGAGAAGGGAGAAAGAGACACATGCAGGGGTTCCGGAACTATTTCCTTTGTATAACGCCAGAGTTAAAATTGTTGTTATATCGCCAATTATGGGTCATTTTGCTTCGTTCGAACTTTCATTTCGGTCTTCATCTAAATTATTAGTGACTTTTGGACATGAAAATATTTTAAAACAAGTGAAATACTTATTTCCTACTTCTCACTTCCTTTCAGGCAGAGCCCCAGTAAGAGTTTGTTTACACTAGTATTACGTAATACCCTTTTCTAACTGCACTGATTTTCATCGAATGCATCCGGACGCATCCGATGAAACGGCCAGTTAGAAAGCAACAGAGGAGAAAAAGGCGATTAAATAGCCGATGAAAAGAAGAGAAATAGGCGATTAAATTCTCCTGCTCAAGAGCAGGAGAATTTCTCATTCTGTCGGTGTGACACCGATGAAACGGCCAGTTTGAAAGCGTTCGGGAGAAAAAGGCGATTAAAACAGCGATTAAAATGGTCAAAGGTCGCAGTATACGCGCTTTATCGTAACCAGCTGTGTTTGTTGACTTATGGTTGAACGTGCTGCATGCTAGCTAGATGGAGCGCGGGCGCGAGTGAATTTCACCGGCAGTTAGAAAGCGACGGGGAAAACTGCGGTTTCACCTTTGTTTACATAAGGAAAATTCAATCGGTATTTTCATCGGTGTGACTCCGATAGAAGCCAGTTAGAAAGCAGTATCAGATGATGAAGAGTCCAGCTGCAATCCAATATCATAATCTCTCACGCAGAGCCTCAAGGCTCTGTCCAAGTTTTTAACGAGAGAAACGAAATTGGGGCAGTGGCACCCCATCAGATTTCCATTCACTCCTGTGTTAAAGTAGTAGCTCTCTCAAAGTTTTAACGAGAGAAATGAAATTGGGGTTCTGGCACCCCACCAGATTACATTGATTAATTGCTTTGTTATAGTGGTGGGGTATAGTTTTAAAGAGAGCTTTTCATAATGGAATGAAAGACTAAGACATTTCTAAAACTTAAAAGGAAAGCTTGAGAAATAAATTATATTCGATGAGAAATTTAAGGTTAATAAGAATTTTCTTTATACAATGGCACAAACAATCCAAATTTGATAGATACATGTATCATTATTCTCATAGAATGACCATTTTCTGTATCAGTGTTTTGTTTTCATTGAACACTGTTTGCCATCGAAACCTTTGGTACAGGAAGCTGTACATGAAGACCATCAAAACATAAGAATGGCTGTTCTTGTGTCTACCAAGCAGTCTTTATACTCAGATTTCACTGTTTAACATTAAACCATGAATATGTTTTATTTCATCTATAAAGACGCAGGCCATATGCTAGACTTGCCAAAGTACAAGATGGATAGGTTGCCCAGAGGATTGTGTATTATCTTCAATGCAGAGAATTTTACAAGGAAAAATCTACATAAAAGAGATGGCACTGAAAAGGATGTTGGTAAGATTTCCCCCTTTGATCCTATCTCTGTGGCATTGATTTGATTTGATTTCATTTCCAGGAAGACAAGGAGTATAATAATAACAAAGAATGCAAGAAAATTGAGTACAATAACAAAAGAAAAGAAACCATCAGCTAATGCGTGTGGATCACCAAAAGAAATTAAGATTATGTATAGCACTGTCCTCTTTACCTGATGGTATAATACAAAAATAATTCAATATTAAAAACATGAAAAAGACATGAAGATTATAAATATAACCCCTGCTCTGGTAGGAATTATATCCTTTGGTTGGAGGTTCCAATGAGATACATGTGTCAGTACAGATATGAAGTAGTCAGTTTGTCATTTGAATTACAAGAGTGAGATAGTTTTACCTCGTATGTAAACTTCAATGTTACCAAAGTAAAGTAATGTTTTGGAAGGTTTCAACTTTTTCTTTTTATTTGGTATTAAATACCAGCACTCCGAGAGTTGGTTTTTTTTATCGGAGTATGACATTTGTCCATCTTATCTATATGTTTTTGACAGAGGCATTGCTGAATACTTTCCAAAATCGTCTGAAGTTCAAAATTCGTGTCGAGCAGGACCCGACTGCAGACAAATACTTAAAATGTCTGCAAGAGATTGCAAGATCTGACCATTCTGAATACGACTGTTTTGTCTGCATCATTCTGTCGCATGGATGTAAAGGCCATGTTTATGGCACTGATGGAAGATTAATGCCCATCGATGCCTTGACTGGTATGTATAATGAAACACTTTATGGTAATGAAAACATCTCTGCCATTTTCAGATTTATACCGTAGAGGCATAATCTTGACAATTATATCTGTTATATCTGCTTTGCATTTTTAATATATTAAAAATTATCCTTGCAACTCTACATGAGAATCAAAGAGTGCTATTAGGATAATGGAATCGGGAGAGAGAGAGAGGAGGGGGATTAGAAAGAGAGAGAGAGAGGGAGGACAGAGAATGTGAAAGAGAGGGGGAGGGTGGAAGAAAAAAGAGAGGGAGGGAGAAAGAGAACAAGACAGAGAGATAGAAAGAGGGAGAGAGAGAGAGAGAGAGAGAAAGAAGGAAAGAGAAAAGAAAGAAAGATATATAAACAAAAAGAAAGAGAGAAAGAAAGAGCATGGGGTAAGAAACTGTGAAAGATAATATGGGGACTGGTGAATCCCTGTCGTACTGATCTAGTTTAATAAGTTTTACTAAAATATTGCTTTTAGCTCGCATTCCAAAAATACATTAACTGAATTATTTTTTTCCCTCTCGTCGCTTTCAGGATTATTCAGAGGCGAGTATGTACCATCTCTTGTGAACAAACCCAAACTGTTCTTCATCCAAGCTTGCCAGGGAGATAATGCTCAAAGAGCTGTTGACATCCAGCAAGACGCAACCACTACACTACCCAACGAATCGGACACCCTCGTCAGTATGTCCACAGTCTCGGGGTATGCTTCCAACAGGAGTGTCTCACAGGGCACTTGGTTTATTTCTTCGTTGTGTATGGTCATCAACTCCTACTACAAACAGAAATTGGATCTTCTTTCGATGCTTACCATTGTTAATGATCAGCTCAGTAAGGCAGCAGATAAAGAAAAGGGGAAGCAGATTGGGAATCCTTCCCACACCCTACGCAAACAGATCTACTTCAACCAGGGACTAGGTGAATAAATATCTGCTTTGGAAGCTTCAAATAATAAAAATATAATTTCTGACTTAATCGTATCTTGAAAGGAAAGGTCCATTTTGTGATAAGACTAGATGATCATGGACAGTGAGTGTGAGTTGTTTTTTCGTGATGTGTACCAGTCAGATCTCATTAATTGTGTGTTGGGACTGACCTTAACGTCTCCATCTGAAAGATATGACTTGATTTCAAACACAGGTCAGTCACAGTTGGTTTGCAGGTGAAGAACAAGAGCTGACTACTTGACCAATTCATGATTTTAACGTCACCATCCGAAAGCGGTTCTTAGATTCAAACTGGTCAGGCTCCGCACTGTCTATTTCTCCTTCGAAAGTTGTCATGGATTTTTGTAAGACACAGTGAATGATCCTGCTCTTGGCAGAAAATCAGTTGATCACTTGAATATTTTTTACATGACAAATTATGCTGCAAAAGACCATGGCAGGGATGTTTGTGATGGAACAAATGACAAATGTCATGATGCTGTATCCTATGACCCTAGAACATTGCAGAACTAATCTTCAAGTGATATTAGAAGTTAATAGAAAGAGTTTGTCTACCATGGGTACTATTAAGCTCCAGGAGTGGCAGAATACTCTGGATAATTGCATGATATTTTATGTGACTTGTATATATCATAAACCTGTTTCAAAGCATTGAGACAATTTATCTATCAATACGCTGCTGACTTTCTTATAATCTGTAGTTAAGTAGTGGTATGATTTTCTGATTTTTATCTCTCTTGTTTGGCTGTTTTTGGAGAATGTGCTCATTATACATCAGTTATAGTATGTTTCCTTTTTTTTTCAAATCACTACCGTAGTGATTACTACATGTAGTGACTGCGGCAGCTTTACAAAGTTCTAAACAATGAACATTTTTGTGACCCAAATAGAAACTTCAAATTGTGTTCTACAACCATAAGAACGATGATATCAAACTTTATATATAATAACGTTATAGCATTTCATTGATTCTTCCCAAAAAAAATTCTTCATAAAAATGGCACTAGATATTTTTATTGAAAGTTTCTTATCTTATGTTCCACTTGTGAGCCAAGGAAAAAATTGTGATTTATCATAGATTATGTATTTAATGCTTTTACTATGTTACATAAATTACTGCATGTACCTAACATATTTTAAAAGCAAAACTCCTGAAACTCCATGTTGTTCTGCCTTTTTTCCTCATTTTTTAATATTCTACTTATGGTACTTATTGTATATTCTTGAATATGATTGAAAAAAAGATGTAATTGCAAGAAGAGTATAAACAAAAATTGAGTTAACATGTGTGTAAATGGAATAATGTCATTCTAAATGTCATCGTATTAGATTAGTAAACTAGTTATGAGAGTTTAGATGCATTTCTTTCATTTGGTTTTATACAACTCACTCCTAAATCCTAATCAAATGATTGGTCACACGCAGTCACGTGTCAATCATTTACCGAGACTATCCCATGTTTTTTATTAAAAGGGGTGCACGAAAATGTCTTTAATGAATTCTTTTTACATCAAATAACAACGATGTAGGAGTTTCATTGTATTTAACAAACAAAGCATGTTTTTATTCATTCATTTATTTACAAGATCCATCTGCTCTCGTTGATGCTGTTTACAGGCGGATCCAGGATTTCTTAGGGGGGGGGGCCTAATTTAAATCACACCGGCTGAAAATTCGCTCAGTGGGGGGGGGGGGGTGGGTAATGAACACTGATTTTTTTTTTTGCTCCTGAAAATTTGAGAATCACGCGGGCCGAAAATTCGCAAGGGGGGGGGGGGGGTAGTAAGCACTTTTTTTTGTTGGTCTCTGAAAATTTCTAAAATTGCACCCCCTCTTAAGCGTTGGAAGGGGAGATAATCTCCAAAAAAAAGTAAAATTAACGTGTTTTTACACTTTTTTTTTCCCAGGGGGGGGGGGGGCTGGGCCCCCCTCTGGATCCTCCACTGGCTGTTTATACAGCTATCATGCTCAGCCTGACAGCTTTGTACAATAGATGCATACAGCCTCAACTCAAGTGCAGATAGATTGTATAGTGAACTCATTCGCATGCATCTTTAGTATCGTGTGAAAGTGGTTGACATCCACTCTCAAAACAAGATTGGTACAAGATGTTGCAGAACAACATTCTCATTTTTGCCTCCATATTTTAATTTGCCTCATTGTCACTCATTAACACTGCCAAGCATATCTGTTTGTTATACATGTTAATATTTCTTTCCCTTACTTTTCTGCATCTTTTCCCTTGTTTTTAATAAATATGTACATTGATGCAGACAAAGTGTGTAGGAAAGACTTGGCTTGCTAAGAAGTGGGATGTACGTGTGCCATTAACTGAAGGGTTAAGAGATGATGATTATTGATTAATGCTTATTATTATCCATTAAAGATATATAACGAAGCACCAGCAATCATTGGCTGATATGCACAGTGATCTGAGCATTTCCATGCCTTAGCAAGTTTGTATGTACATTTTTGTAATGAAAATAGCTGGCCCTATTCGAGTTTAAGATGTTGAAGATATTTTCTGTCAAATTTATCAACGATAGAAAGAAATTAAGTAAATTTCAAACTTGAAAATTTGTCGATGACACGTTAAGAATAGAAATAGTGGTCCAAACCATTTTTGCATGGTAATATGTTCAGTTTGGGATTTTTTCCAAACTGCTTGGCAGTGAAAAATATTTAACTGGCATGGTTCTACTTGCTCGTACAATGCAAGGATGCAATGGTTGTGCGTGAAGTTATTAATGGATACGTGCAGTAAGATGGGTAAATCTAGTACCTGTACTCTACCAAATAAATACATTTTGACAGGCATATTTTGTTAAAATATCTCTTTTTAAGTTTTAAAAATTAAATGTGAGGATGCAGTATAAAAAATCAAGTATTGACTGTCTATTTTTCAGATCTTAGTTAAAACTATGGTTCCTCGGTGATCGCAAGACTGTACTATGCCTCTCGTTTCAGGTCACAGTACAGTTTTGAGATCACCTTTGGCAATACTTTTAACCGTGCCCATCAAAGCAGTCAATAGTTATATATCATTCAACAAAGAGTTGATCAGTGGCAGATCCAGGGGGGGGGGAGGGCCGGGCCTCACTACCCACCCCCCACCCCTCACTGAATGAATTTTCAGCCGGCACGATTTTCAAATTTTCGGGAGCAAAAAGAAAAAAAATTGGGCCCCCACCCCTAAGAAATCCTGGATCCGCGCCTGGAGTTGATACTATTCTTATATTTTGTTAGCCCACGTGAAAGGCTTTGTATATTTTTCTTCTATTTTGTATTAATGACAATAGTTTTATACATAAATAAAGTGAAGATTCTTTCAGCTTTAAAAGAATGTCCACTAAACAATGTTTGGTCGGAATAGAATCTTATACAAGAAAATGTTATCGTAGATACTATGGTACCATGTCAAATTTTTTATGATTATGTTATTTTTGGCCTCATAGGCCTTCTAATTAGGCTGGCCGACATCTGATGACGGTGTGATTTTTTAATAAAGAAATAAACTAAAGTAAACTAAATGGATATTTTATATGAAGAGATAAAATTATATCATGAACCTTGAGCAGTCTTGTCCTTTGCAACCTTTCAGTGTCTTTGAAGATATAATTTGTGTACAGTGAGTGATGAAAAGGAATATCATGTTTTTGGATAATGCTTTCCCTCTTTCAGAAATAAAATTAACAGAAGAACCAACATTAATTAATATAAAGGGAAATCCAAACAGCAACAAAATCAGAGAAGTAGGATGGTGAAAGTGAATGAATTCGGACAAAAATGAGAAAACTTAATTTTAAAACTTATAATCACTATAGGTATGGGATCTTCAAATTGGCTGAATCGGTAATATCTCTGTGATGTAGTGGCGAAGAACTTTTTTTTTTTTTAAATGTATGTCTTATTGAGGGTCTATATTCTCTTTAGACTTAGAGAACATATAATAATATGCTACCCAAAATACATATATTTTGAGTGGTGCCTCGAGGGTTAAGGCACTTACTAGAAAAACGGGTCTAATGATATTCATTAGGTACACATACATAAAGTCATATTGATATTTATATACTGCCTTTACATAAATATGCTTTACATAATAAATGCTTATTCAGCGGCTGGCTGAGTCGTTGCGATTTTTTTGGGACAAACAAAACCAAAAATGTGCTTTTAACCCCCCCCCCCCCCCCCCCCCCCTGGGTATAATATCTATTTTGACATCAGATAAGGAAGATGCAGCTTAACCTCCGGAAAAGCTTTTGTTCACTTGGAAGAGGGCTTTTGGGAGGGCTAGCGTCAAACCTTGTCTATAAAAGCTATATATTTTTCATAATTAGCTTGGCTATACTGGAGGGGAAATTGTTATGCCGGAATAATTAAAGCACACAAAAGAGAGTTGCAGGCAGAGAATGAAAATTTACGTAAGAATTAAGGCACAACTTATGCTATGACAGGAGGGGCATGGTTTTACTTGGAAGGGGCACATTTTGATCAATGGAGGGGCACCTGTTTGTCACCGATGGGACCCTTTCCTTAGTTTTGGGGGGAAATGGGGGCCACCAAACCTCTCCCATCCCCCCACCCCCGATTCCGCCACTGATGAATGTGCTCATTATCGGTCTTACTCGGAAAATTCAATGCAATTTACAAGGCCGCTGGGGGTGCGAAAAGGGGTACAAATTATTGTCTTCCCCTTTTCTTCCTTTTCCCTTCTTTTCACTTTTTCTGTTATTCTTTCTTCTTTTTTTCGCCATCAAATTGACGTGCTTTGCCTTGCCTTGCCGTGCCTTGAAGACTCGTCTGTCCCTTTTTATATGGGACCAGAGGACGATATTAAATGTTATTTACAGGCATCACAAACTTGTGAATAGACTGCCCAAAAAGTAGAATTAAATGTCATTCCAGGTGCGGTTAATTTCTTGTTTCCGACTTGGTTGCAAGGAACCTGAAAAGAGGGAACGGACATGATCAGCCCCATGAATAAAAGAAAAAAATGGGAAGGGGGAGCTAATAACAAATATTAAAAAAAGCAACAAGCAAACAAACGAACAAATAAATAAATAAATCAGAAAATCGGAATCGGTGATATGACCTCTACTTACCACCAGGCACGTAGCCACGGGGGGGGGGGGGGGGGGGCACATGCCCCCCAAAATTTCCAAGATCGGTTGAACTTTTTTAGACCCCCTTTTTTTTTTTACCGCGATCTATTACATCATGATGAGTGCTTCTTTTTAGGTATGAGAAGTACACATTTTCAGCTCTGATAGGTACTTTTAAAAATATATTAAGTTCCCCTCGGTCATTTTAATGTAATTATTCTTTGATAAGTACCCCCTTTTATTGATATTTCCCACTGTCGCTTACAAATTGTGCCCCTTTGCGGTCTTCTAAA